TACTTTGTAAGAGTACTGAGAGAGAAACGTATATTGGCAATGGAGCAGGGCAAGGATGTTGAACGTGGAGAAACTAGTAGTAACCAAGAGGAGTTGGAACAGCCTTTCATTAGGCGGCGGAAAGTTGTTGCTCATGAAGATGATGGCAGTGGGAAAGAATTTCAAAGTGAATCCATTGGCATGGTTTTGCTTAGCACAGGTGTTGCTGTTTGTGGCTCTTTCCAATTCGGAATATGCGTAAGTTCTCTTGAAATTCCCTATGAACATTGTGTTTTTAGACAAAGACTGAGAGTAGATTATATAAAGAATAGGCTTATCTGTGCTTTCTTCTGATTAGGGGGGCTAAAACCGAAAAAAGGGTTGGTTTTTTAGCTTAAAGTTTTTCTTTTGGCAGGTTGGATATTCAGCACCAACTCAATCTGCTATCAGGAAAGATCTCAATCTCTCTCTAGCGGAGGTTTGCATTGTTGTTCTCTTTGCTAGTTTTAGACATGCCTTAATAGTAAAGGGATTATTAGTAATTTTCAGTGTTCTGGCAGTACTCAATGTTTGGCTCTATACTATCAATTGGTGCAGTGCTGGGTGCTATAACAAGTGGTAAGATTGCAGATTTTCTCGGCCGAAAAGGGGTATGGTAAATGTGACTTTCTGGTGTAAAAGAAAAAAGAAAAAACTGAAGCTTAGCAATCTCCATTGCACTAAGCTTCTTGAAATTTTATTGGTAGCAGGCGATGAGAGTGTCCTCTGTGATTTGCATTGTAGCATGGCTAGCCATCTATTTCTCTCAGGTATATGCTGTTTGCACAGTTTTTAGTTGTCAAATGTAATTGAACAGGTTCATATTAATGACGGTATTTGTTATGACTCTTGTGCAGGGAGCTCTGTCACTTGACACAGGAAGGTTTCTCACAGGATATGGAATTGCAGCTTTCTCTTATGTGGTATATATATATGATATATCTCAAGCCATTTCTTTTTAATAGCTGAGCAAGGCTGTTTAATCTATTTGATGATGACAAATCCAAGTTTTAACCAAAATTAGAAAAAGTGGATGAACAGGTCCCAGTATTTATAGCAGAAATAGCGCCTAAGAATCTCCGCGGTGGGCTTGCAACATTAAATCAGGTAGGAGAATTTAGAATTGAGTGCATACCTGCTTGAAAAATATATGATCATTAAGACATAACTGTACTGTACTCCTTTTTCTATGCTTGTTCTGCAGGTTTTCATTGTTACTGGAGGATCATTTGCATTCATAGTAGGAACAATTATAAACTGGAGAGCACTAGCTCTAATAGGTAAATTCTTATTCCATAGGGTATCTTGCTATGCTTAATTACAACACACGGTTCGACTGAGTTTCCTTCGGAAGGAACTGAAAATTTTGAAGGGACTGATTGTTTGGTTTCAATATGAAGCAACTGTACCTTGCCTTATCTTGCTTTTGGGTGTATGCTTTGTACCTGAGTCTCCTAGATGGTTGGTGAGAATTCAAATCAGATTAGTTTTCTTTTACCTTTTGTTTTTCATGTTCCCACCACAATGGAGAAAAAGATGTGTGAGGCTAAAACCATTGTTTTCAGGCAAAGGTTGGCCGTGACAAAGAATTTGAAGTTGCACTGCAGACACTCCGTGGAAATAATGCTGATATATCCGATGAAATGACCGAAATTCAAGTACTTCCTGCCAACCTGAAAAATATTAATCCAATCACCTTTTTAACATTGAAAATGAAGATTTCCAACAAAGTTACCCAGTCTATTTGTTGACAGGAATTTATTGCTACTCTAAATAGTCTTCCAAAAGCCTCAATTTTGGATTTATTTCAAAGCAGAAACATCCGTGCTGTGATTGTAAGCAACTTTCATCTTATGTTTTCATATTTTCTCGAATGATGTTAACCAAATAACTTCTTTTCTTACTGAAATCTCCTGAACATGGTCATGGTTTTAGATTGGGGTTGGACTAATGGTATTTCAACAATTTGCGGGTATTAATGGTGTACAATTCTATGCAAGCGAAACATTCGAATCAGCTGGTAATAATCCGGGCTTTCCTTATACTACATTTCTCTTGGTTTTTGATGCAAGTCTTTCCTGTGAAACTTACTCTATTTCTGTAATGCCAATTGCAGGAGTTTCAAGCAAAATTGGAACCATAGCTTATGCGTGTCTTCAGGTAAATCACTTTCTCCTGTTCATGTTTGAGTTTGTCCATCTAAACTTAGCTCATGTAAAATTCATTGACAGGTCCCAATAACTCTAGTAGGAGCATTGCTTATGGATAAGACAGGAAGGAGAGTTCTTGTAATGGTAGCCATTGATCTAGAAACCCTGACCTTTTTCTAAAATGACATTTTTATAGGGTAAGCCTTTCATTATAGGTGTTTGTTTTTATGTCATGAAGGTTTCAGCAGCTGGGATGTTCGTAGGCTGTACGCTGGCAGGAACTTCCTTCTCTCTCAAGGTATCAAAAGTCCAAAACTACATTCTATAACAAAAATCTTCTGTCTTTTCCCTGTTTGATCATGGTCTTAACTTAAGTTTGTAATTCAACATCTTTTGTAAATCAGGGACAAGGTTTGCTGCTCGATTGGGTACCGATAATAGCCGTGTCTGGTGTCCTGGCAAGTTAACCATTACACCTTCAAACTTTCAAAATTATCATCAAACTTCTTCACAACATCTTCTCATTTTTCTTGGGTTACATTTGTCCCTGTGAAATCAGATTTACGTTGCGTTTTTCTCCATCGGGATGGGAGCAGGCCCTTGGGTGATAATGTCCGAGGTAAACTGTGGAAAACTTATCATTTCCTCAAAACCATTCATATTTGAGGCCTGTTGAACCAAATAGACAGCGGAGCTGCAGAATACTTTATGGATCAAATTACATATATTTTCTGTATGTAATATGGTTTCTCTTTGCAGATTTTCCCAATTGATATTAAGGGAGTTGGTGGGAGCTTGGTGGTGCTTGTGAACTGGTCAGGTGCTTGGATAGTTTCCTATACTTACAACTTTCTGATGAGATGGAGTTCCCCAGGTAAGTAAAACTTCTTGAACCAAACACATTGCATGATACTGAGAATTGGTTTTGTATTGTTTCACAGCTGAAGTCTGATTCAAATTTATTTATTTGAATTATTTTACAGGAACTTACTTCCTATACTCTGCAGTCTGTTTGTTGACCATTCTATTTGTGGCCAAGATAGTCCCAGAAACCAAAGGGAAAACACTAGAAGAAATTCAGGCAAGCCTCAATCCAGACAGAAGACAAAGTATATGAACTAACAACCTTTAGGAGTTTTTTTTATGTCAGAGAAATGCAAGAAGTTACAAATGCAACACAAATATCTCAAAATATAGAATGCGATATAGAAAAAGAAATGCTTGTATTCGTTTTTGGATAGAAAACTGTGGAAAGCAAGGTTGTATGCAAACTATAAATAACGAGTTATGCCCTGGTTTTGACCTCTCCAAGTTTTAGGCATAGTATGATATCAATCAGTCGGTGCACATAAATATGATTGACGGTAACATTCTCCTAGATGGAAAACTGTGGGAGGAGGAACCAAGATGTTGGTATAACAGTTCAGATCATTCACAAGTACATGGATGATTGTACGTGATTGATTATCAGCCGTTGATGAGTATGGATCCCAACCGCTCATTTTCAGAGAACTTTGCAATTGATATTGAAGGAGAGGACTCACGATACAATTGGTAATTTGATATGGTATAATGGATCATAATACTCCCACATACATGAATCATTGATTAATGGTAACATTCTCGATATAGAATGCAAAACGGAAATGGATTCTCTGTATCTCATTTGTACTTAACTTGTATAAAATGCAAAACTCGCTAGTATAGTAGTTTGGAGTAATTGCTTCTCTAGACAAGGTTTTGGGTTCCAATCTTAACATCCGTGTAATATGTGTGAGTTTATTATCATCCATCTCAATAAGAAAGGTCCTAAGAAAACAAACTTCTATAAAATATGCATGTGTATCATCCAATAAAGTATACGATGAAAATTCGGTTATTATCTATGTATATAAAGCAAAAGAAAGAGAATGGTGAAACATTCAAAATTTCAGAAAATGCCCTTGGTTAATGCAAATACTAAGAATTGAAATTATTAATTAAATGAGGGTAATATGGTAAATTCACACATTTTCATATTTAAAAAAATTAAAATAAAAAAAAATCATAAAATGGATCCTATTTTTATGGAACACAATTACCTTTTTTTAATTCTTTTAAATAAATAAATAAATAAATAAAATAAAAAAAAAAAAAACGCGAAAGTGCGTGCGGAGAGACTAGTACATGTTATTAACCAAGATAGCCTTGCACGGGGTTTGATATGTGTTGGGAAGACTAGTACAAATTTAAAACATTTTCCGATTTGTTTCATTTTGGATGGTCCACGACTCCACGAGTCAGCACCACTCCGAGTCGGAAGACTATAGACCATCATCTGTTTCACCATGACCATGCCACGTATAGCTCCACCTTAACGAACTCTCCTTCGACCCAAAACCCACTCATGGTGGTTCATGAACGATCTCGCTCAGTTCCAATTCACACATCGCCTCCTCTCTCCCCCAATTTCTAGGGATCATAATTCGATTCACCAAGGTAGGTAAGTAGCTCTCTGATTATCTTTCAACGCTTTGTTTTGTTTGCCTCTGCCGACAAATGTTAAATGGGAATTCAAAGTTAGAATCTTTTGTTTGAGTATTGTTTGGTTTCTGAGGAATTGGAATTGGGTTTTACTGAGCTTGGTTAAGCTATTTGATTAAGTTGAGCTGCGCTTGACTGTTTGTGTTTGCGAGAACTGTGAATAGGAAGATTTTTCACGTTGAAAGTTAGGGCTTTTTTTGGTCTCAACTCTGAATTATACATTAATTATGTGCAGGGTCACTACTGTTAGAACTAAATTACATTAATGTGATGGCCCATTGAGTAGTGGGTATTGAGGAAAATTACAAAATGAGTTACAGAACAAGGTTTGGAAAAGATAATAGCGCTTGTGATAGTGGAAATGCTGTTGAAGGTTCTGGTTCAAGTAAAGGACCCAATGAAGTATCAAATGATTTTGATCATGAAATTGCTCAACTCACTAAGCATAGATCAAGACCCCATCAGCTTTTGAGCCAGGACATGCCTGGAAAGTCGAGGTTACTGGTTTCAACAATGAAAATGTTGGTTGGTCGTGAAAGTAATCATTCAGGACGTGGGAGATTCTCGTCTGCTGACGGTTGCCATGTTTTGAGCCGGTATCTGCCCATCAATGGTCCTTGGGGGGTGGACCAGTCAACAAGTCCTGCTTATGTTTCTCAATTTTCAAATGATGGTTTGTTTTTTGTTGCTGGATTTCAGGTATTGGGGTTTTGGGCTTAATGATATAACTATTTATTCTTGTGCTTAAAAAAAAATCAATTTCCCCACTATACATTCATGCAGATACAGAGTCCTAACTTTTTTCTTTTAATGAAACAGGGCGGCCATATTAGAATATATAATGTTGATAAGGGATGGAAAGTTCAGAAGGACATCCTAACCAAAAGCTTGAGATGGACAATTACTGATACATCTCTATCTCCAGATCAACGTTATCTTGTGAGTTAATGATGCTTTATTGAATCAAATGGACCTTCTGTATATAACTAAGACTTTTAAATTGTAGGTTTTCTTCATAGAAAAATAATCTCTTTAATTGGTTTCTCAATTCTCTAATTAGCAAATGCAAGATCAACCCATATGTTCTCTCAATCATCATGCAAACTATTCTATACATTTTGTTAAACTTGGTGCAAATTCCTTAGCTTGTGTATATGTAGTTCTTTCTCCTCTCTATAGAATAGTTTTAGATGTGTCTGGGATGATAAAGATATGTCATCAAGATTTATTGAATATTTGGCTTGTTTTCGTTTTCCTGACAATTATGATCATCATTCCAGAATTATTATTAGTCACGATTAATTTGAATGTAAAATTGCAGGTTTATGCTAGCATGACACCCATTGTCAATATTGTCAATGTTGGATCTTCTATGACAGAGTCACTTGCAAATGTTACGGTATGTGACACTAGTGCTACTAGCTTTGAATTTAATACAGAATATCTTGTAGATACTAGTTTAATTGGTTTGTTTACAGATCTGGTGTGATCCATAACGTTCCTGGGCCTTTTTATAAACTATGATACTTTTCAGCATATGTGTTGTTTGAATCGTTGTTATCATCTTGTAAAGTAGGAATGTTTATTAATGTTACCAGATGATGAAAGCTGGTAGATATTACTTCCTAGCTATGATATCTGAGGTTAGCTAGGGATGTTTTGTTGACTTCATTTCAAAATTATTGTTTTTCCTGGATAACCTGCTGGCATATTGGTGATTTTGCAAGATGTTACAACTCCCCACTATAATGCTTATCTCATTATAACCTGTTTTTTTACTTTTTGAAGTGTACATTTTATTTTTTGGATAATTACTTATTCAATTTTAATAATCAGGTGATTTTCAGTTATGATGGTGCGCTTCATAGAATCACTTTCTTGTTCATACTTATTCTTTCTTACATTTAAAGATTACCTTTTTCTGTTCAGGAAATTCATGAAGGTCTGGATTTTTCTGTTGGTGGTGATGAGGACGAATTTGGAATTTTCTCAGTTAGATTTTCAACTGATGGGCGAGAGCTTGTAGCTGCAAGTAGTGATGCTTCAATATATGTTTATGATCTCCAAGCAAATAAAGTTAACCTCCGAATACCAGCACACTCGGTAAAGGCTCTAAAAAAATGGAATATAATGAAATTACTCCTTAATGGTGGTTTCTAAGACGTTTGCCGTCTACTTTTAAAGGCACATAGTTGCCCATTCTAGTTTCTTTCTCCAGAGACTATCTGGATGGAACTTACAGGCATGAGTTGATTATTTTATTTAACTTTTGTTGCAGTCTGATGTAAACACTGTATGCTTTGCGGATGAGACTGGACATCTCATATATTCTGGCAGTGACGATAATCTCTGTAAGGTAGGGTTCATCCATGGTCTTTATATGGTATAAGATGTAGAAATCATGATCTCTACATTGTTTGGTACTTGTTTTTAATTTTCTTTTATTTTGGCATTTCCTTTTTGTTGTCACTGAAATGTCAATATTAAACACTGTTTTTAAAGATTTTTCAGTGAAGGAACCTTTGTCCTTTTGTTTTCTGATTAAGGAGGCCTAAGGCCTGGGGAGGGAGGATACTTTACCATTGGAGCTATGAGTCCCCATGAATTAGTCCTATTTATTTTCTTGTACAGGTTTGGGATAGACGCTGCTTAATCACAAAAGGACAAGCAGCTGGGGTCCTGATGGGACATCTTGAAGGTGTTACATTTATTGATAGTAGGGGAGATGGGCGTTACTTCATATCAAATGGGAAGGACCAGACTACCAAACTCTGGGATATAAGAAGGATGTCCTCTAGAGCCATGTAGTAAGTCTGTGTTACTTGTTTCCCTTTTCTGCTCATGTTAACTTATTGGATTTCTGTTCAGTGCTATATAAATATAATATTTTTTGCTGTCAACAGCATGGGATAAGTTGACCCAATTTTGTTATATTCTCATAGTAATATCTGATTTTTGACATAGTTTTGGCAGTCTTTCTTTGATAGGTTAACGTATGATGCTATTAATTGTTTTATGTCAATAATATAAAGAAGATGATATGGTAACAGACATATTGAGTGCTGACAGCTTAATAGAACTTTATATCATGATATTTTCTGTCTGTAGAAGGGATGGTAAAAGGTTGGGGAACAATTAGAAGTGGAAAGGTAGATTATTTGCGAATAGTTACTATGATTAGAGCATGGTGGAATTTATCGAGCCTTTTTATCAGATTGTTTGGTCTTATTAAAGCGTGGTGAAAAGAGGACCATCTTTGTGAGATTCGAATACAGCAGCTCCTATTATTATAGCATGGAATATGTCTCTGATCTTTGTTGAACCATTTTGTCTTAATGTCACTATTGTGTTTTTACCATATTAAAACATGCAGTTCATGTATCTCCTTTGTTTGTGCCTGTCTGCGTGCGGAATAAACACTCTTGTCAAATTGGTTTATTATTTAGATACTGAGATACTGGGTCAATGACTGAGGTCTAGACCCTCCACGGTTAAATATTAGTGTATGGATTTACTTTTGTGGCCACTGATTTTCAATTTTCCAACCAGCAGCCCAAGGCTTAGAGATCATGACTGGGATTACAGATGGATGGAGTACCCAGCTCATGCAAAAACTTTGAAACATCCAAATGATCAGTCACTGGCTACATATAGAGGTCATGGAGTCCTGCGTACTTTAATTCGCTGTTACCTTTCTCCAGCATATAGGTAATTCTCATTTCTGTATTAATTTTAAATTTGGCTTCGAAGATGTGTGAATCCAAAGTTGCAGATAGTGATATTGGCTTGAATCTGGTCAGTTCAAAAAAGTAATAATAATAAAGTAAAAAAAAACCTTGTGGCAAGTCCAAGATTGAATGGGCTCGGCTTTATGAGTTCAAATGACTTATGAACTGCTGGAGTAGGTGTATGTTCCATTACCTGCTTTCATAGTTAACCCTGGTCTTGGTTTTTTTATTATGCTTTATTTCAAAGTTCAACACCAAGTTCATTTATCAGATTATGATCATGGATCTAGGGAAGTTGGTCAAGTAAAACATCTGGCATTGATTCAGCCTACAATCTTATTGGCTGCTTTTCTGGTTCTAGGGAATCCGTTTCATCTGTCATATAATCAGTTGGCTGTGTCGACAGTTGTTTAGGAGTATGTTTGGAGTATGTTTCTAACTTCGTATCCTACTTATTGCAGTACTGGACAAAAGTACATCTACACTGGATCTAGTGATCATTGTGTCTATATATATGATCTGGTACGTAACTCATCTTTCAGGTTTCACATCATCAACACAATGTTTTCTCATATCATCCTGTTCAATAGTTGATGTAATGGGATGAGGTAGCTATCATCTTTTTTCATATTCATCTGTACAACCCATAAAAAGAAGACAAAAGTAAATGCTTGTATGAGTTCCTTGTGGCAAAGCAAGAATCATGGTTGGCACAGTCTCTAATAAAATAACACTCCCATGAGAATTTTTCCTAAATTCAGCTTGTTGGCTTGTCACTACTACAAAGCTCAGTAATAGGCTAACATGTTCCCTTCTTGAAAAATTCTGTCTTGGGAACCTGAGATTATTGTATCTCTAGTAATTTTGTTTGTTCTATGAAGGTGACCGGTGCTCAAGTTGCGAGACTCAACCATCACGAAGGACCTGTAAGAGACTGTAGTTGGCATCCTCTCTATCCGATGTTGGTCAGCTCTTCTTGGGATGGGACGATTGCCAGATGGGAATTTCCTGGGGATGACCAAGTACCCACCCTGGAGAGGCCGAGAGCGCGCCGGAGGAGAGGCTACTATAACTATTGAGGATGGTTCATGTTTTTCACAGAGTTTGTAATGTTATACTGTATTTTAAAATTTTAAAAAAAAATTGTAGTCAGCAAGTACAGAAAAATTATAGTTCTTTGGTCGCAGCCTTATAAACTATAATGGCTGTACACAAATGTAAAATATGCAATGTTATTGTTATTCACAATAAAAACAAATAGTGTGTAAAGTTGCATTGATATATTCAAATCAAATAATGTTTAGCATGCGACTCACACCTATTTGATTTCAAGGGATTTTACTCATGTATTCATAAAATAAAATCAAATGTTTAGTTTCGAATGTCGTCAACATCATTCGCTTTGAAGCCGTCTGTTCTTCTTGGAAATAAATACTTTTTGGTCTTTTTATATTTAAGTAAATCAGTATTTAATAAATAGTTTAGTAGTATGGTGTACTCAATTAATTTTGGGAGCTTCACTAGTATACCCAAAATAAATTATATATAAAAAAAAAAACACCACATGGAATGCATTTTAGAAACACCTAAAACTCATTTACTACATAAGAAATTGGTGTTGAAGTTTCTATAAATTATGTGACTGCCATTGATCAACTTAAAAGAAGCTCAACACAAAAAACTTTAAAAACACCCAAAACAAGCCCATCCCAGTTTTATAAAAAAACCCAAACAATTCATTACAAACAAAACGTCTCGAAAACCATAGCTTCATTAACGCTTCATGTTGATTAACGGTTGTAATGTTCTACACCTTTACTATCATGTTGATTAATGGCTATAATGTTCCAGTCTAGGGTAATAACACTGCTAGTTTCCTATGACATCCTATTTCTAATGCACATTTACCCCTGTAATGTTCTAGTGTATGGTACTATATTGTAAAGATATCAATGGTCCTAGTCTTGCCACATGTCATAAGATTAAAGAGTCAAGTGGTTAAGATGTTGTTAGTCTTGTTAGGTAGTTAGTAAGAACTGTTATAATTTATCAGCGAATATTAGAGAGGAAAGAGAGGTTAGAAAACGCTGATATAAAGTCTGTAATTGTGCTAAGCTTCAGGTTAATGAGAATACAATAATTCTTCTCTTCATTACTCTGAAACTCTCTCTACTTCTCTTCGTTTCTCTCTGCATTTTCTGTTTATTCTTGCTATCTTAACATGGTATTAGAGCCATGGATCGATCTTGATTTGTGATCTTCTGCTTCCGCACTCTCTTCCTCTTTGTTTTCTCTCTCTGGCTTCGTTCTCTACTGAACCATTGCAGTCAATTTCGTGTTCTTCGCTCTACCTATTACCTGTTTGATCTTTTGTCTCACTGAAAGTTCTTCTTCAATCTTCATTTTTCTGCAAGTTTCTTCTTTCTCAACCTTCGATTCTCCTATTTTGTTTCTTGAATTCTCAACATGGTGACTACTACTCAGCTTCAAATTGTTCAATCTCCTATTACCACCTTGCTTCCTACGGTTTCTACTGCTGTGACAGTCAAGCTTGATGATACAAATTATCTCACATGGAACTTTCAAATGCAAATTCTTCTTGAGAGTCATGGCATTTTGGGGTTTATTGATGGATCACGGAAGTGTCCTACTCGATATGATGAGGACTCTGATGTTGAAGGTGTTGAAACTTGTAGGGGCTTTTTCTTCCGGCAGCTAAAACAGGTTGGGCTGCCGTAAAGGGCAAATTGATGAAATTGTCCCCCTTTGTCTGAGTTCGAAAATCAAGCCCCAAAAGCGCTTCGAAAGGGCAGTAGAGCCTTCGGAAGCGTTCTGGTTACCTTCACCAACGAAAATAATGGCTGCTTGCAGATGATTTCTTGATGCATACAGATAAACTTTCTAGCTTGGCATGAGAGGCTTGTGGCATGGGAGCAAAATCAGCATGAGTTTAGCACCAAAGAGGAAAATATGGCTTCCTAGGGAGAAATGAGAGTGTTTAAGGGGAGGAAGAAGAGGTTTGCAGGCTGATTCGGTTGAAAAGAGAGAAAGAAAGAACCACGTTCTTCCGGCAACTTGACAGAAATTTTGTCATAAGAAGAAAATGGAGAAGGAGGGTGAATAGTGCACGAGAATGTTGGGTTTTTGCAGGTAAGAGAGAAAGCTTGCTATCTAAATCTGAGTTGTGATGATGGGTAGGAAATGCTTCTTTTTATAGCCGCTGGAAGCTGACATTTTCCAAGAAACCCTAATGGTTTCTATCCAATTTGGCCAAGTCTTTCCCTTCCTTTCTCCCCTCATCCCTTCAATCATCCTATTTTGGTGAAATTTCCTCTGCCCATTTGCATAAAATCAGGGATTTTGGGTGCTCAAAGCCCTTTCCCGCAGCTGCCTCAGAACTCCCATTTTCAGCTATTTCCTTCCTTTCCTTTCTTCCTTTTTTTATGGCCAGGTCTAATGAGAGAAAGAAATGAGTATGCATGCTAGTTCAAAGGGTGATCTACGCTCCAATATCCCTTGGTCATTTGAAAGTTTTGCTTGAAACTTGTTCCTCCCATGTGCTGGAGCTTCCCATCAGCTTTCACACATGGATATTTTGGCTTTCAACGTGGCTTTTGTTTTCAGCTAGGTGCTGAAGATTTGTATATATTTTCTTGGGTTGCTTGGGCCTTCTAAGATAATGGGTTGGTTTGTCAAAATAAATGGGCTAACCTCAACAAGTGTTGGCCTATTTTTGTTGAGGTGTTGGGCTAATTTGGTTAAGCTAATGGACCATTTTAGGTTGAGGTAATGGGCTATTTTTTGGTTGGGTTATTTTCCTTTTGTGCTTACCCATATATTTGGGCATAAGAAATGGGCTTAGGTTCCGAGGCTCCCAAGCAACCCGGAACCTCTATTTCTCGACCCATCAATGGGCATCATGACAATTTATTACCATACATACCACAACCCACTCAAGCAAGCCCCGGGCGTTTGAGTGGCTTGGGCCCACTTAAGCTTGTAGCATAGCGTGGCATGTGTACAAGCGCATATTCCGAACTTTCGCGTGCCTAAATCGGGTTTCTTCTAGGTAAGGTATTGCATTGGGCTGAGAATTTATTTGGGCCGAAGCGTGGATTTTTTGAGCCTCAACAAAACTGATGCTTATCTAGTTTGGAAAATGCATGATCGTGCATTGATGCAGTTGCTTATTGCAACTCTTTCTTCTACTGCGATTTCTTATGTCATTGGATGTACCAATTCTCATGATACGTGGGTTCAACTGAAAGATAGATTTTCTACTGTAACCAAAGCTCGAATCTTTCAGATGAAAAGTGACCTTCAGACTATCAAGAAGGGTTCAGAACCTGTCTCCCAATATTTGCAAAGGATAGCAAGAGAGAGTTAGTTACGCATGTTCACAATTGAAATCCAAGAAAATATCATTAAGAAGAATAAGAATGAAAACACCTGAAAGTCGCGAAAATCCAAAACCCTAGCAATTGCTCCAAAAGCCAAAAAGAAGTAAAAGGGAGTCCCCTAAATTGCTGTGAAAAGGAGCTTAAATACCTCCTAAAACCTAGCTGCCCAATCCCCAAAAGGAAGCTAAGTTAAAATAAAATAATACTAGGAAATAAAGTCCAAATTGGATTAGGAGAATCTGCCCAAATCTGCCCAGCCACGTTTTGGTCTCAAATCTCCTCCAAATCTGGCCCAAGATAGCTCGTTTTAAAGATAAAAACGTTCTGAACACTTCTCCAGAAGGCCACGAACCCATCTGAGGTCATCTTGGGCTCCAAAACACAATAAAAGCCCAAATCGTCACTATTCCAGCACCACGCACTGCTCCTTTATTTTATCACCAGAAAATAACCGCTTGGTAGAAAAGTCTTAAATTTTGATATGATCAAGCCAAGTGACTCACGAACGTCCTCCAACTGGAATTACTCCAAAATTCGTCCATTTGATTATGTTTTGCTCCAGAGGGAGTCGAAAGTCGTATATTGGAAATATAATTCAAAGTATCAAAATTCTTCCAAAATATTAACCAAAATATATTAAGAATGAGGTTAAATATATAATATAAAATATGCACATCAATGCTCGAGATCATATTTCTGCAGCTGGGGTTTCTTTTGAGGATGATGATATTGTGATCTTGGCTCTCAATGGTCTTCCTTCTGACTATAATACATTTCGGTGCATGGTTCGAGGCAGGGAAAATGTGCTATCTCTTAAAGATTTTCGATCTCAATTGATTGCTGAAGAAGCTACTCTTGAACAAACTAACTCTGCATCTCCTTTTGTCTCTGCAATGATGGCTCAAAATCAGACATTTCAAGGCAAGGCTCTTGTTCTTGATGAAGGTATCTCCAATTCTCAGCCTCAAGGTTATCCTTTTGGCTCTAAGTCTGCTTCATCTTCTCATTTTCCCTCTGGTTTCAATGGGGTTTTAATGGTAACCATGCTGGTTTCAATGGTTCCAATAATGGTTTCAATGGTCACAACACTGGTGGTTACTCTATCAATCGTGGGTCTCATTTTAAGGGTCGAGGCAGAGGTCGCAGTCATTATCAATATGGTCCACGCCCTTATCAAGTTCAGCCTACTTCTAGCCCTGGTATTCTTGGTCCTAGCACTGACATTCCTACCTGTCAAATCTGTAGCAAGAAAGGCCATCTAGCTGCTAATTATTATCAAAGGCACAATCAACCATCTACTCCTACCTCCTTAGTCCAATGTCAAATTTGTTGGAAATTTGGGCATTCTACCATTCAGTGTTATCACAGAGGCAACTTCTCTTACCAAGGCAAACCTCCTTCCACCAATCTTAGTGCCATGCATGCCAACTTCCCATCTTCTTCACCTCATGAGCAATTTTAGGTAGCTGATACTGGAGCAACAACTCATATGACTTCTGACTTGTCTCAACTCAGTTTGGCTACTCCTTTCTCAGGGTCTGATACTATCACTACTACAGGGGGTTCAGGTTTGAGCATTTCTAATATTGGTTCTTCCATTTTGGATGTTCCACTGTGTTCTTTACAATTAAAGCAGGTTTTGCATGTGCCAAAGCTTTCTCAGCATTTGCTATCAATTCATAGGTTATGTAAAGATAACAATTGCAGATTTATATGTGATGCCTTTGGTTTTTGGATTTAGGACAAGATCACGGGGAGTGTTCTTCTCAAGGGACTGTGTAGAGCTGGCTTGTATCCTATTCCTTTCTCCCTTCCACAATCCAATCTTCAACAAGCATCCTCTTTTCACAAGAATCATTTTTGTTATCTTGGCCAACGGGTCAATACAAGTCTCTGGCACAAACGTTTAGGTCATCCCTCCAACACAATCACTTCAGCTCTCTTACGTCAGTCACAAATTTCTTTTTCTTTAGACAACTCCAAATTAGTCTGTACCACTTGTTTAGAAGGCAAACTTGCCAAGCTCCCTTTTCCTTATCCAGCAATTAAATCTATCAAACCTTTAGAAGTAATTCATAGTGATGTCTGGGGTCCTTTTGCCACATTATTTGTTGAGGGTTTCAGATATTATGTTAGTTTCATAGATGAGTGTACTCAATTTACTTGGATTTTTCCAATGATCAATAAAGGAGAGGTTTATTCTATTTTTGTCTATTTTCATGCCTTCTTGGTTATTCAATTCTCTGCTACTCTTAGAGTTTTTCAGAGTGATGGGGGTGGTGAGTACCTTAGTAATAAATTCAAACATTATCTTCTTACCAAGGGTATTGTTCATCAAATATCTTGTCCCTATACCCCTGAACAAAATGGCCTCGCTGAGAGAAAACACAGACACATTTTAGAGACTGCAATCACTTTGTTACAAACTGCCCATTTACCTTATAAATTTTGGTTTCATGCTTGTGCTACTTCCACCTACTTGATCAATCGCATGCCTTGTCAAATTCTTCAACTCAAATCTCCTTATTTTTTATTGTATGGTTCTCCACCAGTCATTACTCATTTGAGAATTTTTGGTTGTGCTTGTTTTCCTCTGCTCAAGCCTTACAATACTCACAAACTTCAGCCAAAAACTTCCACCTGTATTTTTCTAGGCTATGCAGGTCAATATAAGGGGTATATCTGTTTCTCCCTCCAAACGAATAGGTTCTTTGTGACTCGCCATGTCATTTTTGATGAAACTATGTTTCCTTACACCTCTGTGCATGCCGTATCTATTCCTCCATCTCAGTCTCCAACTACTTCTTCTCAACCATTAATTTCCTTGCATAACACTATTTTGTCACCTGTATCTTCTCTTCATGTTTCCTCTTCTTCTTCATCCACCTCTACAGCCACTGAATCTTTGAATACACTGCTTCCTAGTGCTTCAGAATGTTTGCTCTCAACCTCCCAGAATATGCCAATTTTAGAATCTGCTACACAATCTCCTCTCCCTGTGGATCCTGATTTTCAGCCTGAGACTCTTTGTGTAGTCTTACCTCTTCTAGTTGTAAATCTTCATCCTATGACCACCATGTCTAAGAATGGTATTTCCAAAAGGAAGGCTTATTCTGCTTCTGTACAGCCTGTTGATTACTCTCAGGTTGAACCTAGTTCTTTCAAGGCTACTTCTAGCAGTCTGCAATGAGGGAGGAAATTGAGGCTCTTCATGCACAAGGCACTTGGGTGTCGGTTGTACGTGGGTCTATAGAATCAAGAAGAATGCAGATGGTTCTATAGCTAGGCATAAGGCTTGTTTGGCTGCTAAGGGATTTAGTCAAGAGGAAGGTATTGACTATAGTGAAACCTTCAGCCCTGTAGTGAAACATACCACTGTTCGTTTAGTTCTTGCTCTTGCCGCTCAGTTTAATTGGTCTTTAAGGCAACTGGATGTTAAAAATGCATTTTGCATGGTATTCTTCAGGAAGAGGTTTACATGACTCAACCCCAAGGCTTTGAGAGCAAACTTCATCCTTCTGACTTTGTTTGTAGACTAAGGAAGTCTTTGTATGGGTTTAAAACAGGCTCCTTGTGCTTGGAATGACAGATTCACTAGTTTTTTTTACCAAGTTTGGGTTTTCAAGCTTCACTTGCAGATCCATCTCTCTTTGTTCAGCAGTCTTCTCTTGGCACTGTGATCTTACTCCTCTACGTAGATGATATCATCCTTACAGGCAGTCATTCCTCTCTTTTTACATCAGTTATTGCAGCTTTGACTCAAGAATTTGATATGAATGACTTGGGGCAGTTGAATTATTTTCTGGGGTTGCAAATTTCATATCAGTCCACTGGTTTATTTGTGACTCAGACTAAGTATATCAAGGAATTACTTGATAAAGTTGATTTACAGGATTCAAAACCATGTGCTACTCCTTGTCTTCCCTATCACATATTACTTAAGGATGATGGAAAGCCTTATTCTCATCCAAAACAACACAGGAGTATTGTTGGAGCTCTGCAGTACCTCACATTCACAAGGCCTGACATTGCATTCTCAGTGAATCAAGCTTGTCAATTCATGCATAATCCCATGGAATCTTATGTTGTGGCGGTTAAGAGAATCTTGAGGTATTTGAAAGGTACTCTTGATTTTGGAATTCATTTTCAGCCTGGTATTCTTAATCTGCAGGCTTACAGTGATGTTGATTGGGCTGGTGATCCTAATGATCGCCGATCTGTCTCAGGATATATTGTTTACTTAGGGTCTAGTCCTATTTCTTGGGCTTCTAAGAAACAACATATTGTATCTCGTTCATCTACTGGGGCAGAATATAGGGCCCTTGCTATTGCAGCTACTGAGCTTGCCTGGATTCGCCAATTATTCTGTGATCTTCGTGTGTCTTTACATATCCCTCCTTTAATCCATTGTGACAATATCTCTGCCATTTCTCTTGCTTCCAATCCAGTATTCCATTCCCGAATGAAGCATCTGCAGATTGATTACCATTTTGTCAAAGAGCGAGTTATTAGAGGTGTTTTGCTTGTTCAACATGTCTCTTTTGCAGACCAGTTTGCTGATATTCTCACTAAAGGTCTTTCTACTCCTTTGTTCCAGCACCAGTGTTCCAATCTTATGCTTGGCTCCTCCAAGCCTGCGATTGAGGGGGAATGTAAAGATATCAATGGTCCTAGTCTTGCCACATGTCATAAGATTAAAGAGTCAAGTGGTTAAGATGTTGTTAGTCTTGTTAGGTAGTTAGTAAGAACTGTTATAATTGATCAGCGAATATTAGAGAGGAAAGAGAGGTTAGAAAACACTGATATAAAGTCTGTAATTGTGCTAAGCTTCAGGTTAATGAGAATACAATAATTCTTCTCTTCATTACTTTGAAACTCTCTCTGCTTCTCTTCGTTTCTCTCTGCTTCTCTTTATTTCTCTCTGCATTTTCTGTTTATTCTTGCTATCTTAACATATATAACACTGCTAGTTTAATGTCATGTTGATTAATGTTTGTCATGTTGCTATTTCTAATACATGTCTACCAAAGAAATGATGAAGAAAGAACAAACCAGACCAACTCAAAACAAGCCAAGCCCATATTTTTTTTAAAAACCCAAACCATTTATTATTAAAAAAATTCGCGGAGTATTAAAAACAAGCTGAGCCCAGATTATTAATACTATTATGCCATAGAAGTACATTGTTAATATTCTGTCATAGAAGTACATTGTTAAACAAAAATGAGATCAATAACTGAAATACTAACAAAAGATAAATAGATCATCAAAGCTTAAAATACATTATGAAAAACAACTAAAATTCGAAGAGAAACACATAATTGAAGCAAAAAATAAAAAATCTGAAGTCCAAACCAAACGACAACGAGAACAACGATGATGACGAGAACAACAACGACGAAGTGGCGAAAGAGGAGTAGAGCTTGAAGATGAGGAGTAGAGCTAGAGCATCTGATTGAGGTTAGTTCAAGGTTCCGAACAATCCGAAGAAAAAAAAATGAATATAAGCACGATTTTAGAACAAGAAATTGAATGTGAAATATTGAAAATTGTATATCATAGATGAAGAATATAGTTGGACCTGAGACTAAGCTTCAATGGAAGCTCCTCTTGCTCCAACACCGAGAAAGCACCAGCAAGAAAGGATAAAATGAATATGATTTGATTTTTTGGCAGATCTGATTTTTCTCTCTCAAATCCGTAGTACAAGGGCAATATAGGTATTTTACACATACAAATAAACTAAAAAATAGCTATTGTCGATTTTGAGGTTCTTTTTGGGTGTGTTTATAGTTTTTAAATGGTATAGGATTTCTTTATAAGATTATGTCTAAGATAGATATATAACTAAATTTGTAATTAATTTTAGGGTTCGTTTAAGAACACCCAAGATTTATAGTATATCTTAATATTCAAATGGGATTTATATCATAAGCGCAGCCTATACATGCAAGTAAATACTTGGGAATCTAGATAACCCAATATCATCATCATCCGCAACAGCTGCTACTGCTTGTACCACCAAAAAGAGGATGCTAAAATATTTAAGCACAACAGCAACACCAAATAAGTAGACCAAAAGGAGGATGCTAAAATATTCAAGCACAATAGCAACACCAAATACGTGGGCTGATAAGCTCCAACCTGAGCTGTTAAGGTTGATTGTGAAAAAGCTCGCTTCAAATTTCATGGACATCGTTCACTTTGAAATTGTCTGTTCTTCTTGGAACCGCGCTGCAAGATGGTGTACCTCTGCTGCCGCGTTGCCTCCTCAATATCCATGGCTCATGCTCCCCACCCTCAAATCGCCTAGTAGGTGGCCCAAGCTCCCTGGTGATAGTGATGGGGAGGGCATATGCTTCTTCAGCCTGGTAGATAATAAGGTTTACAAGATGGATTGGAAAGTGTCTCAAGGCTTTCCTGGCGATGTCAATTCCTCTCCGGGTTCATCACATGATGGGTAGCTGGTGGGTGGTTCATCACATGGGTGGCTAATGATGCTGGATGTGGGGTCAACATTATTCGAAGAAATCTATGGAATTCGTCTTTTCAATCCAATATCTAGAAAAAGCAAGACGCTTCCTCCCTTGCGCCGGTGCAGGTCTTCAATCAGAAAAGTTGTGCTTTCCTCGGACCCCTCTCGCAACAACAACTTTGTCGTGGTATTTCATGATACCATGTCTCGACCGAGGCCAAGAAGGCTAACATCCTATCAGCACGGTAGAGGCGGAGAAAACGATGTTGCGGGGGCATGGACTGACTTAGAGGATTCGCATGATCATTATGGTGGCTATTTTGATATCGTACTCCACAACAATGGCCATTATTTATTTGCACTGTCCTTGGACCACTCAATTCAAGTTTGGGACTTTGGGGACACCTTTAATAACCATCCCACCAAGATCATGAGATTTCAACCTTCCATTGTTCTTAGCTGCATGACGAGTGGTAAAAAAGGGTTGCTGGAGTTAATGGGTGAGCTTTTGCTTGTGGTGCGGGAATTCTTGGGGCACAATTGCAGAGGAGCGGAGGACTTTTATGTCTACAAGTTAAACATATTGCTGCCAAAACGTGGGAGAAGGTGGAATCTTTGCGTGATTGTGCTTTATTTTTGGACAGAAATGGATCGGCAATGTCGTTATCCACGGGAAAATTGCCAGGGTTAGAAGAAAACTCAATTTACTTCGCAGACTCATATCAGGAGTATTCATTTAAGGGGTGTATCTAATTTAGATTTTAAAATATTTTAAAGAAATTTGAAAGTTTAGGTGTATTCAATCACGATTTTATAAAAGGCTAATCAATTATGGGTCTATTCAATTCATACTTTTTAAACTTCATTCAAATTTGGATGTATTCAATCACGACTTTAAAACACTTCATAAAAGTTTGGGTGTATTAAAAAACTCATTGATTTTAAAGGAAATACAAAAAGTTGTGAATTTCAATTGATAATAGACTAATTTTAGGTCATTTTCCCGTGGATACTGGTAAAAATTTCAGGATAATGGACTAATTCACGGAAAAATAAATATATTATTTTATTCTCAAGATATAATTTCATCACTTCTACTACCACCATCTTATCATGACTATCAACATAGCAACTGCCGTCGCCGCCACCACCACCATAGTCATCATCATCGACAACACCACCACCACCACCCACCACTGCCCCCACTACCAGCCCCACCATCACCACCACTACCGCCAGCACCATCACCATCCCATCATTGTCACCACCACCATTGCCACCGCCACCATCCTTATCGGACCTTCACAACCACTACCACCCCCATTATCAGTCCCACAGTCACTACCACCACAACCACTACCACCTCCACCACCACCACCACCACCACCACCACCACCACCACCATCACCACCTCCACCACCTCACTCCCACCACCACCATCACTATCATCCCCACCTCCTTCACCACTACCTCCCCCACAAACCACCATATTGCTATCGCTATAAACTCCATTAAAATCAATAATAAAATTCTAACAAACTCAGTTAAAATCTATACACAAATTTAGTCAAAATCTATGTGGAGTTTTTAGAATTGAGTCAACTCCAATTAAATTCAATTAAACTCCATCAACTTTATACCTCTTTTAAAATCATTTAAAATCTAAATTGAATACACTCTTTGATGATATTCATGTTCGGGGAGTATTCAGCTTAGAAACTAAACTTGTTAAGCAATATTATACAACTGCAGCTCATGTGAACGCTAGGTATGCGCCAGCCCTTTAGATTGTGCCTAGTCCCTGACGATGTTGGTATCAAACTTTTAGTTTTGTTTCTATTTGACATGTAACGAGTAGGCTTATGATAATTATAAGTTTAATAATAAGTCTATGAAAGTTATCATAAAACGACAAATTAGCATAAAACGACAGATAACAATCCAAATCCGGAATAACTTTAACCTTGTCCTAGTCTCTACTATCCTCGGAACCCCCCAAAACTCACACACCAAACAATCAAATAAACTCTTGTTTAATTTACCCACCAAAGACAAAGCCCAACTTACATAATAAAACAGAGAAACAAACAAACCAAGCAAGCAAGCAAGAACTTGCCAAGCAAACGACAATGGCCTCGTCCGCAGCAAGGATAACCTTCCGCATACTCATCATAGCTCTGGTTCTTCTGGTCCTCTTCTACGTCGGTCGACCTCTCTACTGGAAAATCTCCGCCACCATCCACGAGATCCGCGAAAACAAACAGACCGTTCAACAAGGTACATAAATTCACTTTCCTTTTTCCGCTTTGATTTTTGATTTTTCGTTTTCTGGGTATGAATTTTTTGCTCTGGGTTTCGAAACGGGGTTCAGGTTTGTCGAAGATCGTTCTGGAAGCTCAGAAATCGGTGGGTTGGTACCACGACGAATCGGATTCGGGCTCCCGCGTAGATCGGGTCGCGAAGAACGTCGGGTTGGCCACGACCCGGAGGCTATTGCTCCACCAGGTTTCATGAAAGTTCTTTTACCGTTCCGATTTCTGTTATGTGCTTTTCTGTGTGGGAATGTTAATGGTGGCCAAATGGGTTTGTTGTTCAGATCTGGTCTTTTCGAATGAAGTGGCTAATTATGTTAGATTAATATATTTCCAAAGAAGTGAAATGTTCCCTTCTGGAATTTACCACTTGTTAGAAAGAAAAATTTGTACAACCTGCAATGTATGCCGGATAATGTAACCGTTTCTGGAAATATATAAATAGAGTTGTACTGAGTTTTGATTTGATGCATTGGATTGGATTAGTGATTGCCTTTGGTTTTCATTTTCGGTACGCTTTCAAATTTGTAGTTCATATGCGAACCCGAAAAAGGGATGAATTTGATAATTCAGATGCTCTGGCTTGATTGACTGTACATGCCATTCATGAATGTTTTGGATTAGAATACCAAGTTTAAAGTTTTAACTATGGCTGTTCATCAAACTGTAGTTTCCATTCTGCAAGTTATGTTAGGAAGAATCAGCAGATTTTGTTTCTTTTTGTTCTTTTCTTTTCTTCATGTAGTCATGTGAGGGGTCATCCATGCCCACCAACTATTGGATTATGATCCAATAGATGATACTTAGTCACAAAATCAAAGTACTAATCCGGATTTCGATATTTGTTGTTGAATTTTGATCCAATAGCTAAGCATGAATTTTGTGTTTATTAATGAGTGGGGGATCCAAACTTTTGGAAACTAATAGTATACTGTAATTAGGGTTCTATAGGAATATTTGGGTTCCTAATTTGTTTTAGGGGTTGTGATCTGATTTCCTAAGCTAAGCAATTTGGTCCTAAACAAACATTATGTATGTAGATGTATACATCTCACCAAAGTTTACCAGGAAGATCTAGATCTGTGAGTGTTCTTCTTTAGGCTGCTATAAGGCATTGGAGAAGTCCTCTTAGTGTTCTTTCCTTCATGTGGGTGCGTGCGTAAAGCCGAAAGGGAAAGCATGAAGGCGGTGCAAATGCAGATATCTGAGTGTTTGAACTTGGAAGGCATTTTTTTGCAAATTTTCTGTGCGCAGATTGGTTCTGAAGAAACAGGAGAAACCAGTGAGAACTTGCTAGTCTAAATGTTGATATTACTTAGCTGTTTCTATCTGTATGGGTTACTATTACCTACCCATTGCCTTAAATTTCTTTAGGCTTAAAGTAGGTCATTCAACTGCCAAATACATGATTATTACTCTCCTTTCAAAGCTTGAAGTGAAGTGAGAGCCATTTTTCTGAGAGTTCATACTCTACTAGACTAATTTTTCAGTGACGGGCTAAAAAAAGTCCATGATATATCAGTTTTGCCGTCCATCCATATTATGATGCGTGAATTAGTAACACCTCGTGATGGTGATGAATGATCTGTTACACACAAAAATTTGACCTCTACTATGAACAGTATGGGTCACCTCCCATGACATAGTAGGAATGGCATGAGGTGGTCAAAGGACACATAAAAATGGGCCATAAGAGATTACGAGTTATGGGATTTGAGCTTGCGGGTTTGCTTGTTTAATCAGAGGTGTATGGCCTTTTTCACTCATTTTGGGCCTTTATGACTTAGTTGGACTGCCAAAGCTTGTTAATCACCTTCGATTTCTAGCATACCCATCAAATGATGTACGTAACACTTTTTTCCCCCCTCTTTTCTACACTGATTACAAATTGAACAAAATCCTATGAAACCTAATAGCATCTTTAAAGGAGATGTCAAATTCATCGTGACATTTTTATCATGTAGAAAAAATAATTGTGACTCACTCCAACTAAAATATTAAAACCCACGTGGAATAACCCTTATGTAAAATGTCAAATTGGCACATAAATCATTAAATTTAAATTTAATTTGACATCTCTCCCTGGCTCTAAGCTTAAGTAGAAAAAATAAAATAAAGAAAATTATTTGTATTTTTTAGTAACAAGAGACTTACTTTGGTAACTACGATGCATAAATTATAGATGTCCAATAAGTTCACAATATTTTCCAAGATACTCTCTCCAACATCATAGATCTTGGTATTTTGACATTTCTCTAGAGCAAGCTTTCGTGCATCAAGGTCAACAACAGCTTCCCATAACAATACGCAATACCATTGACATACATGCACGTGTTTTCTTCAAACTTGATTTTTGTGGTTTATATAAAAAGTGTGAAAACACAGAGTGTGAAAATGAATGATGATGGAGAAAGAAACCCATGCACTGACTTTTGAACAGTTTGATTCTTCAACGTCAGATTTTTCCTTTACATAGATTTCCAAGTACACTCGATCCAAAGTAGACAAGTCAGCTTTGAATTCTGAATTCTATAAACTCATGGGTCGTCCCGTGCATATGAAAACCATCATTTCCAGCTGCATGTGTTCCTTCCCTGATGGGCTCTTTTGTGTTTTCTACGATGCAATGAATTAAATTCTGATCATCTAGAACTAGAAGACTAGAACTGGATTCGCTAGGTTTTGTAATATTATAAGATTTTACAATATAATATAAACACTAGGTTTTGAAAAGCTAGTGTTGCCGTTTCTTTAATAAGTGCATGGACTTTGTCGAAAAGTCATTAGCTTTATTGTATTGGGAACCCTACTTATTGGAATAATATTCATTAAGAGCTCGTTTGGGAGTGATTCTGGAGAAGCACCTCTCTATATAATCACTTTAAGTGATTTTTAGCAATTTTATGGAGACGCACCTCCCATATGCTCCTTTCCAAAATCGCTTAAAATCACCTAAAGTGATTATATGGGGAAACATATGAGAGGTGCTCTTCCCCATAGTGATTCTGGACCCTCCAAATGAGCCCTAACTTCACCATTGAGTCGACCTAGCTAGGTTTTAACTTAAAAGAAATTTCTCACTTAATGTTATTGATCTTATTGTTGGAGTTGGAGTTGGACATATTCTCTTCTCCAATGTAGGATTAGTCATTTGAATTTGATTCACAATTTCCACCAATCTCATCGCTTGATCTTTCCATTATTTTCAAGCACCAAAGCAATCTGCACCACCTTAGGACATTGTAATTAATAATAATCACCACATACCCCATCGAGCAAGTCTCTGAATGAGATGGATAATAATTTAAAGTCAACTCCAACTTTGAGTCGCATATTGTGCTTGTTCCCTAAATATTATAAGATGACTTTTAATTTTGCAATCATAACCATCTTCTATGATGCCACTTTTTGGGTTTCTAAAAAAATAAAAAATTGATACCACTTGTTGGGAGTCAAAGAGAGATTTGACGCCCATCATACAATAATATTATCGCCAACTTAATTGTTAAAACTTAGATTACATATGATTCTTATTTTTTATATAAGCGATAATATAAATTATACTCTAAATTAATTTAATTTACAGAAAAAAAATAATTCAAACTTAAATGCAAGGGGCGCTCATTACTCTGACCAACTAGTCTAACCCATATGATTTTTATTCAAAGGTTCCATCATAATTAAGGAGATGTCTCGCTTAATATCTCAATGACGAAAGGTTTACAATTTGATTAACTCATGCTTCCTACCACATTTAAATTTTAATTGTGGTTGGGCCAAGGAGTATGATATCCATGTATTAATTTGCCCAAAATCGCTCAAACACCATGCACCCTACCTACTACCCCGGAAGGAATATATGAATATTACAAAGCCATCTATTGTTAAGGGCCATCCTCTCAATTCGAATAGAAGAATAGGATCACTACTTAGACTAATAGACTATTGAGAGGCCCCTTTAAAGCATGAGTCAGTTCTTCTCCGCATGCTCAAAAGAATATGTTAAATATTACGTGTTAGCTAGATATATAGGTCAAAGCTTAATCCATGTTAATTATTAGTTTCATTTAACTATAATAAAATCATATTTACACATTCTCTAATAGACACGTGATATTTATTTAGTGAGATTGACACAAATGAGCCTCGCCTCTGTTAAAGAGATTGTACAAATATGTCACAATATGACCTGTAGAAATAATACAACCAGAATCGTAATCACATTTTAGACCATTTTCTCATTCTCTCGCCTTAGTTCATATGCAATGATTTTTATTGCACGGGACCATACTTAGGCAGTCCTCACTGATCATAATGAACTTTAGGTTTAGCTTCATTTAGGCAACAAAGGTTGGCCCTTGCAACTTTAACTTAATTGCATGTGTAACACAAATAATTTGTCTTCTAATTTGTTCCTTACTTGGTTCTTAAACAATCACAATTGGCCTGGTTTTCCTTGTCCTCTGGTTACAAGTTAATTCTAACCAGAACATTTCTGAATGATTGAAAATGGCTTGCTGCTGGCTGGCCTTATTCAGAATCACACACACAATGAATAGACAGGATTTTTTTAAAGTACACAAAGAACTTAACAACAAAATTCAAGGTGGTCAATCTAATCTTGTCCTTCGGATTTTCATGTACGTGTCCAAACTAACACCCTATTACCAAGGAAAACGTGAGCTTTAATTAATTTGACCAAATTAAACTATTTATATATTTGTAAAGTAAAGCATCTTTACTGCAAACATACCTTTTTCTTTATTATTTTTCAAATAGTATATGTATCTAGAAATGGGAAATTTGGGAGACATGGACTTAGACAAGTTGGTTAGTGTGGATATGCTCCTCACTCTGCACTCGAGTTTGAATTCCCCTCTTCGTAATTTAGATTATATTAAGTAAAATATCGCTTGTATAAAAAAAATATTTATAATAAAAAAATGATAAATCTTTCTTAGAAATGTTCTCAAATAATTATCATTAATTTTTTCGGCTCCTGCATTTAGGATCTGTACATTTACCTGTGTATTGGTAAATCTAAGCCGCTCAATTAATCTAACGATTTAACACACACATTTTCATAAAAGCTACCATACACAGAGCCTAAATGCTCGAGCCCAAATGCGGATAAAGTTTGATGACATATGGTGCCTTTTTTAAATAATAAAAAATAGGACCGTATGATGCTTCTTAAACGTAATCACTTTTTGGCTAGCCCATAATTATTATCCCTCAATGGTCAATATATTCATTCCATCAACTTATCCTATACATATATATAATTAATTAATTAATTCAACTTTTAATTCGATGGCCACCAATTAGAAAAACAAGTAATGGCAATGCGGGCTATCCCTAAACTATAAAAGTTCATGCTCATTGAATGGCTGAAAAAATAGGATCTTGAAGTGGTGGGGTTTCTCACATCAAATCGGAGGTGGTATGGAGTTGGACAACATTCAAGATTAATATATAAATGTGAGAGACATGCGAGATTTATACAGTGCCAACCCGACTGCCCTCCCGTTAAATTCTTTATAATTACCCACAACATTATATCCCAAAAAACTTATGTAGGATTCTCAGTTCGAGTTTTAGCATCCGTAAAAGGTCCTAAATAAAAAAAGCTATGCATGTTTTGTTTGTTATTATATATCATTTATTTGTTTATTTTCTTTTGGTTACAATTTCTTATTGCATTGACAATGTCACAATGTGTGTATGTGACACAATTGTCAATGTACTAAGTTTTGATATGATGATGGATGAACACGTAAAACACCTTGATATTACTCTACTCTACATAATTGACCAATTTAATGACAATTAGCCAACCACTCTTTTCTTTTTCTTTTTCTGAGAGAAAAGCCAACCACTCATTAAGAATTGAGGGAAAATAGTGTTCCCAATCTGGTTGGACTTGATTCATTTCCTGTTCATTTGGTTTAATTCTCGTCCCCAACTAACGATCCTTAGGTTTATTACTAACGATACTCATGTTAATTTTATCGTTGATTTTTTTTTTTTAAAATTTATAATTATTATTTTTTAATAAAAAAGAAATAACTTCATTGAAACAACAATGTCATATTACAAAAAGAAGACTGGACTTTAGTAATGTAACAAGTGTGGCCTCATTAAAACCTTGCCTTTAAAAACCCTCAAATGGAGAAAAATCCGGTTAAGGAAAAAGAGTACCACTACATCACATCCAGTATAAAATTAAATTAAGTAAATAATTTGTCATTGGCCAAAACATCATAAATTCATAAAGGACCATCATCTAACCACACTTGAAAGTCCTAAGACTAAAGCGCCTGCTTAGCCAATAGAGGAGTAACCTGGTTACACTCTCGAGGAGCAAAGTGACAAGAAATATGATCAAAACGATTAAAAAGCCCGACTTCATCCACTAAAGCACCCTCCACCGACCAACTTTGCTCATAAGTTCGAAGATTCATAATAATCTCTTCGGCATCTATTTCCAAAATGACAAAACGATGTCCCATTTGACTTGCAATTTGTAATCCCATAATTACTGCATAAAGTTCAATAGCTTTAGGAGAAAACATGCCATGAAGACCTTTATAAGCAGCCAACATTAAATCACCCATACTATCTCGTATGACAACCCCAAAACCTCTAAAACCAATCAGCAAATTGACATCACCATCAACATTTATCTTCACAAAATTACCATTAGGTGGAGACCAATACCGCACAATATTAGTTGCTGGAACATGATTGATATAATAAAAACCTCATGTTTATTATTAGCGATACTCATGTTAGTTTTTTTTTATTTTTATAATGATTATTGTTGTTTGATATAAATGAAAAATAAAAAATTAAGACCATCTTCAAGGGAGATGTTAAGTCCGACGTGGCACCTTTAGCATGTAGGAAAAATAGTCGAGACTCACTCCAACCGAAATGTTAAATACTACGTGGAATAACATTTATCTCTTTTGTAGTTACTTTTGATTGATTGACCTCGTGATGTTATTTTATTATTTTATAATTAATATGCCTATATTGTAGTAAACCAATAAATGATATTTTAATGAGTTTTTCTATTTAAACTCCGCTTCTCTTTGTTCATCCCATTTTCTAAGTTCACCTAACTTCTAATTTAAATTTTCACAATTTCTAATAAAACCCCACTATCTTTCCAAACTTCCCCTAAATACACACTCAATAGAAAAAATAAAATAAAATAAAAAACTCATCAACACCACACCCCACTATGTTTGTGGGGGTCATATCCCATATGATTTTAAGATCTTAACCCACTGAAATTTAGTGATCGAATTTTTGTAAAATAAACAAAATATAATAAAAAATGAGTCTTGAGTGAGAAGATGAAAAATGATCAACAAAATGATCGTAATAAGAGATTGCGATGCATATATTTCTTATCATTTTCCTATAAATAAAATTATCCATCAGTGTCCAATAAATTAAATATGCACTTGTGTTGCAGGAAAGGCATTGGGCTTTGAATCATATCAGGTTCTATTTGCTGCGAACATCACTTTACTTGGTAAGCATATATGTACTGTCACCTTTTCACCTTTACCCAATGGATTTGGTGTCGGGTTATTGATCTTTTCAGTGACTTGTTAGTGCTTCAGGTGTAGGATGAGCTGTATGAATGCTAATGTGAGAAGAGTAATATGATAATAGGATGAACAAAGATAATAAAATTAAGAGCTTAATGATTTAAATATTGGAATGAACAAAGAAAAGTGTAGGTTTAAATAGAAAAATTATATTTTAATTTGACATACCGGGTAGAACGTAAAATTCTATTATATGTCAAATTACCGCATAAGTCGTCAAATTCAAATATAATGTTTGATATTTGACATCGCCTTTGAAGATACTAATGTTTTTACTATTAGATTAAGTATTAATTAATCAAGAGACCGACCAAAAAGAAAAGAAGATAGAATGGAAAGTGTGAAAGAACCAAAAATTATTCAATCTCCCCAACCGCCAAAGCTGAAAAAAGAAGGGATATTAATGGCTTTGGCTGGATGCTTTGGGTTTGTTTGAGTCTTGCCAATTATAGAAATTTGAATAAAACATGGTGCCTGCTGACTGCTCACTGGTGGTGAGGTGTATATATAGAAAAGGGGCCCACAAATGACAAATCAATCGCTTCAAATCAAAGTGGAACTGCGTGTCACACACGTGGCCACATACCATTGGACGGTTTCAAAGCTTTTTGGGCATTCGCGAAAAAGTCCAGCAACTGTTCATCTATGACTAATTGAACTTTCTTGTGAACAAAAAAAGAAGGGGACCAGGTGAACTTTCATCATGGTATTGGATTCTCATGAAAGATTCGGATCATTGGGTACTTGGAACAACATACCAATGATATTCTGACCAAAACAATAACTATTTATACGGATGAGTAGTGCCAAGCCAGTTGCCAAACAAACGTATAAGTAAATTTTGATTGTTAATGCGCATAAAATTCATAATACATTAACGATCAAGATTAGCTCAACTGAGTAGTGTCTTTATATGGATTCTCATACAGTTTTGGTTTATCTGTATTTCTCTACAATATTGATACATTTCCTTTCCAATCATATTCAACTTTAGGTACATTTAAACACGGTTATAATTTCACTACTCTTAACTCATACATATCTCAAAGCATTAAGAACAATCCCTAGCCGTTCTCTCTCTCTGTGAATCCTAAAGGAAAATCTCATAGAGAGGGGAGGAGGAAGAAGCGTCACTGCCCCTTTTCCCCATCATCTCTTCTCGTCTTTTCCTTTTAGGTTGGTGAATAAGCTTACTGGGCGTTTTGAATAAAAAGCCTCTTGTGGTGGTTTTCTCTAAGCCATGGTTAGATTAAAGTTCCCAAACACCCCTTTTAGTCTATGCTCTCAATCAAATCCTACTCTCAAAACCCGCTCCTTAACGCCGCTCATGTTCTTTAAATTTGATTCTACATCGTCTTTGACGGAGGTTGCTGCAAATCACCGAATTGTTCTTTGGCAAAGTTGTTGTTTTCATTTATTTGTTCGCTCTTGTGCGCAGGTAGATCTCTGGAAATCATATTTTCCCCAAATCTGTTACGGATGCAGTGGTGGGTGTGGCCATAACGGTGCTTCTTCAAGTGGTGGTGGTAGGGTTCGTCTAGGCTCATGGGTTGATTTAGGGTTTTGGTTATGTTGGGTTTGTGGATTTTGTTTGGGCTTATGACTAATTGTGATGACGTGGGCTAATAGTTTTAGTGCAGTTTTTGTCAACGTTAGTTTTGCTTTTAGCATGTTATTTTGTTGCCTTCTTGGGATTAGTATTTTAGATGTCTTGTTGATATCTTTTATTGTACTGTTGAAGTTTATCTAATAAAGTTTCTATTTGATCCAAAAAAAAAAAAGAAAAAAAAAAGAACAATGTGAATTTCTACCTTAGACATACATGTGGCTTCACTACTAATTATTTCTATTTATCATTATTTGTTAATTAGATATTAGGCTCTCAATACAAGTAGAGGTGGCCACGGGTAAGTGTATGTTCGGTCCAAACTCAAATTGCCAACTTAAGGAGGTAGGTCTAGTACACTCTTTGACACTACCTCACTTATCCAAATGACACTACCTCTCTCTCTCTCTCTCTCTCTCTCTCTCTCTCTCTATATATATATATATATATATTGCCAACTTAAGGAGGTAGGTCTAGTACACTCTTTGACACTACCTCACTTATCCAAATGACACTACCTCTCTCTCTCTCTCTCTCTCTCTCTCTCTCTCTATATATATATATATATATATATGTCTCCTCTATCGTATAAAGAGAAGATATGAGTGCAACACGTATAGAGAAGTTTTTCTCTTAAGTAGAGAGGCTAACAACACATCTTTACATATGCTAGCATGCACTAGTGAATCCATAGCAGTGCCATTATGACTTTAGTATTATTTTTAGTAATTGTCAATTAAAATTATTACACAAGGTAAATTTGTTAAAATGTCAGTAGGGAGAGCAAAACGTGAGGTAGCAATAGGGTCATTCCCTAAAAAAGAAAATATAAAATTTAGGATAAGTTAAAATACAAAAGGAGAAGTTGGGCAATCCAATTTTTTTTTTTTTTTTTTTTTTTTTTTTTTGATTGATTGAAGTCCTTTGACTTTTGTGCAATGTAGGATGACATTCCTTTTTATATTTTTTTAGTGTTTATATATAATTTTGGGGCTTTACCGTATAAGGACAAATATGAGGGCAAAAAAACAAAATGGTCCAGCGCCTCCAAAATTAGACAAATCGGTCAAGTTACTGTCATATAGTGACATGAAATAACTCTTATGTCACTCATTGAGAGTGACATTAAACAACTCTCGTGTCACTGTCCAATTGTGTTGTTTCATTTTCCACGCATTTTCAAGACTTTTTTCATGTACTATGTTCTCTATCTAGTTGCAAGGTCCACCTAAGTCATTTATGAGTTCTAGGGAGGTTGCCAATCTGCTAAGAGAGTTGGGATAGCACTTATGGGGTAGCTGGACATCCAAATGCATTAAGCATGTGCAGCTGGTGTGTTGTAGTAGTCAAGGAATTAATGTGGAGGCTCCCAAGGACATTAATGAAGGTAGCTGGTAAGAAGACTTCTCAGCACAAGACAAGAGTGGCTGGTGTGGAGACTTCTTATCCCAAGGCATTGATGAGGGTAGCTGGTGTGAAGACTTCTTATCCTAAGGCATTGATGAGGGTGGCTAGCAAGGGAGGTAGCGAGCTTCCTACTTGTCTATTTAAGTAGGAAGTTCAGATAATACAATTAGGACCAGCAAATAGAGAGAGTTGTGAGTACAAGGAAGAGTGAGAGCAATCAGCCTAAGTTTGGAGTTGAGAGATGGAGTCTTGTAAGTCTAGAAACCAAAGGGGGAAAACTAAGTGAGAGTGTTCACAGGGGCATCAAAATTTTAAGCAAAGGGGTGTGAGAGAAAAGTGAGCTTGAGGGAGAGAGTAGTGTTCTAAGAGGGTTTTCTGTGTAAACCAAAGTTGTAACATACTTTTTCATAGATGAAATTTCTTAGGGGGATCACCAAGAAGATGTAGGCAAGATTGGCCAAACCTTTATAAATCTGTGTTCTTTGTGTACTTGCTGATTTTTCTAAGTGTGTGAGTGGTGCATTCATCCTTATGAGTTGTGAGGGTTTGTTACATAGTCCATTGAGAACAAGATCAAAGGGAGTTTCTGCACAACATATCTAACATCAAAATTAAGTGCACCTCCACTAACAATCACACATGATTGAAGAAACTTTGGCATAGACATCCCAACTAAGATTGTCAACTCAGAACAATCAAATAGAGATAAAGTTTGAAAAAACCAAGTCATAACAATACAAATAAAACTCTCATAAAAAAGAGGTGGAAAACTCTCACAAAAACTGAAGTGAAAACTACACAGAAGACCCAGGCTAGAGGTCAAGCTGGTTTGGGCTGCGGGCTAACCCAGTTTCATGGGCCCCACAACTTTGCCCTGACAAGGCAAGCAAGGTCTGTTAGAAGCACTTCTCTGGACTTGGGCCCTGTCTTGCCCGGTCTGCAGTCCATTGTTGGAACTCCTCTAAGATGCAGCCGTCTGTGATGGGTGGATAAAATTAATTACAAAATGAAGATAGGGAAACCTTCTCTCTCTGAATATGGGGGAAGAAAAGACAAGGAGGAAGAGAGTAGGGGAGATGGGAGGAAGAATAGTGGTGTCCTCCCATCTCAAAATGAAAACAGTGCTAGGAGTGTTTTTTGGTAAAGAGGGGCTGGACATAAAGAATTAAGATAATAAATGAGGGAAATCCCAAGACTATTTTTGCTAATTAAACCACCTCTAGTATAGGTAATTAAATCCATAAGCTACCTCTTGTATAGGTAATTAAACCCCAAAACCACCTCTAGTACATGTGTAGAAAAACGAAAAAGAACCAATTCGACAATCTCTGTCACTTAAGGAGGTAGGTCTAGTACACTCTTTGACGCTACCTCACTTATCCAAATGACACTACCTCTCTCTCTCTCTATATATATATATATATATATCTGTCTCCTCTATCATATAAAGAGAAGATATGAGTGCAACACGTATAGAGAAGTTTTTCTCTTAAGTAGAGAGGCTAACAACACATCTTTACATATGCTAGCATGCACTAGTGAATCCATAGTAGTGCCATTATGACTTTAGTATTATTTTTAGTAATTGTCAATTAAAATTTACGCAAGGTAAATTTGTTAAAATGTCAGTAGGGAGAGCAAAACGTGAGGTAGCAATAGGGTCATTCCCTAAAAAAAGAAAATATAAAATTTAGGATAAGTTAAAAAACAAAAGGAGAAGTTGGTTGCAATCCACATATTTTTTTGTTGTTGATCGAAGTCCTTTGACTTTTGTGCAATGTAGGATGACATTCCTTTTTCTATTTTTTTAATGTTTATATATAATTTTGGGGCTTTACCGTATAAGGACAAATATGAGGGCAAAAAGACAAAATGGTCCAGTGCCTCAAAAATTAGACAAATCGGTCAAGTTACTGTCAGATAGTGACATGAAATAACTCTTATGTCACTCATTGAGAGTGACATTAAACAACTCTCGTGTCACTGTCTAATCGTGTTGTTTCATTTTCCACGCATTTTCAAGACTTTTTTCATGTACTATGTTCTCTATCTAGTTACAAGGTCCACCTAAGTCATTTATGAGTTCTAGGGAAGTTGCCAATTTGCTAGGAGAGTTGGGATAGCACTTATGGGGCAGCTGGACATCCAAATGCATTGAGCATTTGCAGCTAGTGTGTTGTAGTAGTCAAGGCATTAATGTGGAGGCTTCCCATCCCAAGGACATTAATGAAGGTGGCTGGTGAGAAGACTTCTCAACACAAACCAAGGGTGGCTGGTGTGGAGACTTCTTATCCCAAGGCATTGATGAGGGTGGTTGGTGTGAAGACTTCTTATCCCAAGGCATTGATGATGGTGGCTAGCAAGAGAGGTATCGAGCTTCCTACTTGTCTATTTAAGTAAGAAGTTTAGATAATACAATTAGGACCAGCAAATAAAGAGAGTTGTGAGTACAAGGAAGAGTGAGAGCAATCAGCCCAAGTTTGGAGTTGAGAGATGGAGTCTTGTAAGTCTAGAAACCAAAAGGGGAAAACTAAGTGAGAGTGTTCACAGGGGCATCAAGATTTTAAGCAGAGGGGTGTGAGAGAAAAGTGAGCTTAAGGGAGAGAGTAGTGTTCTAAGAGGGTTTTCTATGTAAACCAAAGTTGTAACATACTTTTTCATAGATGAAATTTCTTAGGGGGATCACCAAGAAGATGTAGGCAAGATTGGCCAAACCTCTATAAATCTGTGTTCTTTGTGTACTTGCTGATTTTTCTAAGTGTGTGAGTGATTCATTCATGCTTATGAGTTGTGAGGGTTTGTTCCATAGTCCATTGAGAACAAGATCAAAGGTCTGCACAACAGATCTAACATCAAAATTAAGACAATATGGTGCAGCTCCACTAACGATCACACATGATTGAAGAAACTTTGGCATAGACATCCCAACTAAGATTGTCAACTCAGAACAATCAAATAGAGATAAAGTTTGAAAAAACCAAGTCATAACAATACAAATAAAACTCTCATAAAAAAGAGGTGGAAAACTCTCATAAAAACTGAAGTGAAAACTACACAGAAGACCCAGGCTAGAGGTCAAGCTGGTTTGGCCTGCGGGCTGGCCTAGTTTCATGGGTCCCACAGCTTTGCCCTGGCAAGTAAGGCCTGCTAGAAGCACTTCTCTGGACTTGGGCCCTGTCTTTGCCCGGGCTGCAGTCCATTGTTGGAACTCCTCTAAGATGCAGCCACCTGTGATGGGTAGATAAAATTCATAACAAAATGAAGACAAATAGGGAAAACCTTCTCTCTCTGAAAATGAGGGAAGAAATGACAAGGAGGAAGAGAGTAGGGGAGATGGGAGGAAGAATAGTGGTGTCCTCCCCCCTCAAAATGAAAACAGTACTAGGAGTGTTTTTTGGTAGAGAGGGGCTGGACATAAAGAATTAAGATAATAAATGAGGAAAATCCCAAGACTATTTTTGCTAATTAAACCACCTTTAGTATAGGTAATTAAATCCATAAGCTACCTCTTGTATAGGTAATTAAACCCCAAAACCACCTCTAATACAGGTGTAGAAAAACGAAAAAGAACCAATTCAACAATCTCTGTCACTTTCATATATAATTGATTCTCAGATAATGTGTGTTAAGAAGCTAATTGATTCAAAACAGTAAAACTGCTGTAGGGAATTTTATTTTTTTTGGTGAAATTTTTTTGTCTGCTATTTTTGGATCACTGATATCTCTATAGGTCCCATTGTTGGCGATGTACCGTTGGTGAATATCTATGTCTGCAACAAAGCTCCTGGGGCCCTTAATTATACTTACATTTTAGATTTTATTAATTAAGATATAGTCTCAAACATGTGTATTGAATTTTTTTTTTTTTGGGTCAAACATGTGTATTGACATATATGGAGGTTCTAGACAAAATACATAACAATGAAATACACGCAGACTCGCCTCTTCTTTGGAGGCCGGCGATGTGGTTGGTTTTTCGTTTTATTCCTTGAGGAAATAAAATAACTGATTTTTAAAGAAATGTTTTAATAAGAAATTTTCAAGGGTGTTTTGAGAATAATCCATGGCATGTTAAGTACAAGTTCAATGCTTTTTTATTTATTTATTTTTCTTATAAAGAAATTTGAGTCAAAGTGTCATGATGAGCATTTTTGGGTGTGATATTCCTTTTTCACTTGGGTGAATGCAACTATTAGCTAGAGAGAGAGAGAGAGAGAGAGGCAACAATGTACTGCATATATAGAGAGAGGTGGCTTATCAATGTCAAGGGTCCCTCCCAAAAGAGAGTCGAGTCATCAAATGCAAGAAAAGGGAAGGAAAGAAAATTCCGATTGGACCTCAATTGTCTACGCTCATGTTGTCTCTTACAACTTGTATATACTAAAATTTATTAACTAAACAATGGGAAAAGGGACGGGACTTGCGGCCCACTACAACATCGATAATGTTCCCAACTTAACCACCTGCATATATAGCAGGTGTGATGTATTTAATTTTGTTAAGTTTATGATATGAGACTTTATATTTTTTAACACTAGCCTCTTCGCATGCACTTTTTGCGTCTGTGAGAGGTTTTTTTTTATAAAAAAATTAAATTTATTTTAGAATTAAAAAAATAATGAGTTGTTGTATTCCATAAAAATAGGATTCATTATCTGATTTTTCTTTGAATTTTAATTTTTTTTAATATGAAAAAGTGTGAATTTACCATATTATTCTCATTTAATTAATATTTTTAATTCTTAATATTTGGATTAACCAATAACATTTTCTGATATTTTGAATGTTTCACCATTTTCTGCATTTTGCTTTATATATATAGATAATATGCGTATTCATTTATCATTTGATAAACAAATTTAATGACTCTAGCATTATTACGAACTTCGTATTAACGCTTTACCGGCCTACACCTCTTCGTCCTTATTGTTGATTGATAAAGTCCAATCTGACCACATATTTCTCCATACGAAAACAAAAAACAAAAGAAAATTCTTAAACGACTAAAATACTTGGAGATGAGAATATGAACCCATGTTGAGTTTGAAAGGGTAGAATGTGAATCACCAATATTTTAGTGGTCGGGGGTGACTTTGAAAAGGACAAAATAAAGAGAGAGAAAAAAACAACACTTATGTAGATAATAATTCGGTTGGTTTGTTTGGTATAAGTTTGTCACGTGCTCCCGGCGCGAGTGACGTGTGTCCCATACTTAATTATTTCTGCTCATCATCATCATCATTTGTCAACTTTGCTCTTTAGCTTCCCGTTTACCTGGCTCCTCTAGCCTCTAATTAAGTTTCTCACTCATCAACCCATGCCTCTGTAATTCTTTAAAACCACTTATATGTAAGTTGATAAATATATATGCATATAGCATTTGGTATATATAATATATATATTTATGTATTTGGTCATTCACTTGAGTTTTGTTAACTTTTTCTTTGTGTTCCTTTTGTTTGATACATTTCAGGAAGGAATGGTTTGATTGAAGGCTTGAAGAAACCATACTTTTGTAGTTTGGAGAGAGAAAGATTTCTGGGTTTTGGTTGAAATCAAGAGAGAGAATGTTGTTGAAGAAGAAGCACTTTGGTTGGGTATGGATAGTTATTGTTGTTGTGGGACTAGTTAGTTTGCAAGCCGTGGAGGGCTGGCCTCGCCGGATTCTCTTGGATACTGATGTCGATACCGATGATTTCTTTGGTCTCTTGTACCTCTTGAAGCTTAACAGATCAGAGTTTGAGTTAGAGGTAAGTTCATGATCATGTCAATGTTAATTTGTGATGATTCCTTCATGTTCCAAATGTTTTTTGTTGCCAAAAAGCATTTCAAGGCCAACAAATGCTTGAGCTTACATGTATATATGTATGTATATTCATAATTTATTGCTTGGCTTATAAGTAAGTCTAAGCAAGTGAAGATGATCACCATTAAAACTAATCCAAGTTTTGGCTGATTTAAATCCAAAAGAATGCAATGAATATTGGGTTTAAAGATGAAAAAGCTGTAGTTCATACTACTTTTAGTCCTTGAGGACTGAGTCAAATAATTCATATAGTTGAGTGGATTCTATATTTGAAAAAAAATAAAAAAAGGACTTTAATTAAAACTGAAGACAATGTGCTTTTGGAATTCTCTTTTTGGTTGATTTTTGCAACCCAACTTTGTGTTTTATCTTTTTGGTCAAATGGTGAGACAACTTTGTGTTTTCCATTATGTGAAAGTGAATCATTGTTTTTTCACCTGTGGTAAGAAGAATTACCGCACTGTAATTAATTTTGTTACCACCACAGGCAGTGACAGTGAATGCAAATGCTTGGACAAATGCTGGGCATGCTGTGCATCAGGTGTATGACATGCTATACATGATGGGTCGTGATGATGTTGCTGTTGGTGTGGGAGGGGAGGGTGGGATTGAAGAAGATGGCACCATTTTACCAAATGTTGGTGGATATCTTCCAATTATTGAACAGGCATGAACTAGCTTAGCTCCCTTGTTACCATGTATTTATATGATATTTTCTCAATTGATAGATTTTTTATATTTTAATTATGTGAAGTTCATGTTTGTTAATTTTCTGATAATTATGAGTGCAAAATTATATTAAATGCAGGGGATTACAACAGCAGGAGGATGTAGATATAGACAAGCCATTCCTGTAGGTTCTGGAGGTCGATTAGATATCGATTCTAATTTTGGCATCAGAAAAGCTTTCCTCCCTCAGGTACAATATAAATTATTACACAATATCTTGAACTTCTTGTTCAATCACATGTTTGACAAAAATTCCATAACTTTACTGCATGTTCTGATCAATGTTAATGCAATGCTGAGATAAGTTGAAGTCTTTTGACTTGAAATTCCTGCAAAACACCAGAGGAACTGTAAGGCATTTAAAAAGGGGATGTAATGAGAGATTCTTTGTTCCTTTTGGTCATACATTCTATATCTGGCTCAGAGATTTTTTTTCTTCTTTTTTTTATATGGAATTAGGGGAGCAGGAGATATAATCCTTTTCGACAACCTACTGCTCAGCAAGTGATGATTGACAAAATATCTGCAGGTCCCATAACTGTGTTTCTTATAGGAGCACATACAAATTTTGCCATATTCCTTATGAGCAATCCACAGTTGAAGAAGAATGTTGAGCACATATATGTCATGGGTGGTGGTGTGAGATCAAAGAACCCAACTGGTTGTTGCCCCGAAAATGCCACCTCTTGTGTACCCCGGCAGTGTGGTGATCCTGGTAATGTGTTCACAGACTATACAAGTAATCCTTATGCAGAGTTCAATTTCTTGGGAGATCCCTTTGCGGCATACCAGGTAATCCTTGTTACATCACTGCAGTCCTTATTAAGAGTAACGTTCTCTTGCCCAGATTTATATTGCTAGACTGTTGACTATGTTGTCGGACTGTGATTCTGATTCACACATTCGAGCAAGAACCAACCTGTTCAGCCGTCCAGATTCTCAATCTGGCAAGAGAGCATTTCCTGTTTTTAGGATCCTAGAAAAATGGTTACATTTTCTTACAGTGGTGTTGATATTTCAGGTTATACATTCTGGGATTCCTGTCACCCTCGTTCCTTTGGATGCAACAAACACCATTCCTATTAGTCAAAACTTCTTTGAGGCACTTGAGAAGAGTCAGAGTACATATGAGGCACAATATATCTTCCAGTCCTTGAAAATGGCTCGTGATACTTGGTTCGACAACCAGTTCTATACGGTAAGTCCATGATTCTTTTTGGTGTTTGAGTTGCAGAAAGTGTATCATCTTTTTGTCATTGTATTTCCCTCTTGTGATCAAGACTTTCTATGCCTTAAACCACAAACATTGTAAGCAATCAAATGATCTGGTATGTTACAACTTGACTATTTTGCAGAGCTATTTCATGTGGGACTCGTTTACAGCTGGTGTGGCAGCCTCAATCATGCGAAACTCGAATAACCCTCGAGGCGAAAATGAATTTGCTGAAATGGAGTATATGAATATAACTGTGATTACTTCAAATGAACCTTATGGGATATCTGATGGCTCCAACCCTTTCTTTGATGGCCTTAAAGTTCCAAAGTTCAACTTAGACAAACATGGTGTGCATAGTGGCCACGTTCAGAAAGGACTTAGAGATCCATTTTGCATTGTAAAGGAAGGGAAAGGGAAATGCAAGGTAGAGTTGCCTATACAGCTTCCAAAGTTTAATCTCTCATAGTGGTTTTAAGCTTCACCTATAGTTTTCTTCCTATACGAAGGCGATTAACAACATTGCTCATTTTGACTTGTTTTCTTCTCATGTTAATTCAAATTTTGATTGACTTTCTGTTGCTACACAATCCAACAGGATGGTTATACAACAGAGGTAACAGGACCTGAGGCAGTGCCTGTGCTTGTTGCTACAAAAGCAAAACCAAATCAGGACCCTGAAAGCCCACTCAACAGAGAATTCTTTAAAAGCTTCTTAGAGGTAATTAAGTTCAGTAAAATACCTGTTCCATTTAGATTCTTTGAAAATTTGTCATCCTAGTCTGGTCTCTACTCTAAGCATAACACATAAACATTCCATGTACAAGTGATATGTGTGATTGGAATGACAACACCTTTTCCAATTGGTTTTACAGATCCTAAACAACCCTCAACAAAAAGGGAGATTCAATTTCACAACACAATTTCCCTTTTACAAGGAAGAGACATATAAACCAGAATTTGGAACTAGAAAACTGGGTAAACCTGTTGTCTTTGACATGGATATGAGTGCTGGAGACTTTGTAGCTCTGTTCTTCCTCCTCAAAGTACCTGTTGAAGTGATTAATCTCAAGGTAGAGAGGTTTTTTTTCTTCTTTTCTTCCCATTTTTATTTTCTTCTTGTTTAAGTAACTCAAATGAGCCAAATCTGTTTCTCCTTTGCTTTCAGGCAATAATGGTCAGCCCAACTGGGTGGGCAGATGCTGCTACAATAGATGTCATTTATGACTTACTGCATATGATGGGCCGGGATGACATTCCAGTAGGTCTGGGAGATGTATTTGCTATGAACCAGTCTGATCCAGTTTTCTCTGCTGTTGGAGACTGCAAATACCTTAAGGCCATCCCTCATGGGAATGGTGGATTATTGGACTCGGACACTCTCTATGGCCTTGCCCGGGATTTTCCCCGAAGCCCAAGAAGGTACTGGAAATAACTTTTTGATCCCTCGGAGTAGCATGGAATTTTTGGCATAGAAATTATGGAAAACAGTAATGCGTTCACCAAATAATGTGTCAATATGTGTGTGTGTGTGTATATATATATATATCAGTATCTTACAGGTTATATGTTAGAGGAGGTTTGGAATGACCCAAATTTGAATAAATGAAACACCGTCACATTATTTAGTAAACAAGTTTGGTGTGTGAATGTTAGATGCACTGGAACTAAAAATCTCAAGTTGTTGTTACTAGGTATACAGCAGAAAATTCTGTAAATTACGGAGCCCCTCGGGATACAGATCACCATGAACTCAGACAACCACTAGCATTGGAAATTTGGGAGTCTCTGGTGAAAAGACTGGATCCAGGATCTAAGATTACCATATTGACCAATGGACCCTTGACTACTTTAGCAAAGATTATTTTGTTGGAGCAGAACACTACCTCTGTAATTCAGGTTAGTTGATTTTGAATATATATTCTCTGATATCAAGTTTTTGCATCAGATAAAAAAAAAGGGTGCATATTCCTGGTAATGGCAGTATCCAATGAGGCCAATGCTCATTGCAGGATGTATATATAGTTGGAGGCCATATCAGCAGCAATGACAAGGACAAAGGAAATGTGTTTACAATCCCTTCCAATGAATATGCAGAGTTCAATATGTTTCTTGACCCTTTTGCTGCAAACACAGTTTTTGGTTCCTCACTTAACATCACACTCATTCCACTAAGCATCCAGCAAAAAGTTAGTTCATTTTCGAAAATCTTAGAAGGGCTGCGCCAGAGAAAGAAGACGCCCGAGGCTCATTTTGCCAGGCGGGTGCTGTCAAGGCTCTACCGTTTGCAGCAATTGCACCATAGATATCATCACATGGTAATTAAGCTTCCTAATTGACAATTGCCATGAATTTGATACACATTGTTAGGGAGCTTGAGGAATTTGTAAGATAATTTTCTAACTTGACCTTCAAGTATTTGTGAACACCCTTTCTCATATGTTATTATGATGCAGCAAACTTTCTTGGGGGAAATACTTGGTGCAGTTCTCATAGCTGGTGATTCCCATCTGAACCAAACCTTCCAAGTCAAGCCTATCAAAGTTCATGCTGAAGGTGTTGAATCAAAAGATGGGCAACTTTTGATTGATGAAAAGCAAGGGAAACTAGTAAGAGTATTGGACAGTGTAAATCCTAAAGCCTATTATGATCTTTTTGCAGAAAGGCTTAGTGATTCAGTTCAATCTGCTGTATTAGTAATTTTGAAGAGCAAGTAAAATTGTGGCGGAAGCCTCCGAATCAAACCCAGCCTACCCCATAAGGTGTGTAGAAATTTGTATGAAACAGTGTCTTAGGAGCAAAGTAGGCATTCTGCTCTTTAATACAAAGAAAGAAAAAAAAATACAAAACCAGAAAATGCCATTGGAAATTTCTTCTTTGGCTTATTTATTTAACAAGGAAAATTCTTCATTGTACTCGCTTACTCAGAGCTGATCCTGCTATGTGAAATTTTATATTGCACAAATTGTCACTAATTACTTTGTAGCAGATAAACATCACTTCCTTTCATTGACAAGGACATGCATATAAAAATCAATAATTGGTATACACTTTATATCTTGACAGTTTAAAGCTTTTAGGAACATGGTAACCAACAAAACTCAAAACATTATTATCACCATCATTATTATAATTTCACCATCCAAGACCTGCTAATTTTGCAAGCTTATGCCATGCTGCATCACAACAATTTAACATTGAGAGATTCACTAACATACCCAATAAAGGAGCCCAAATTATAAAAAAACCCTATATGAAATGGAATTTATAAACATACCCAAAGCCCATTTATAACATAACAAAAAGGCTTTTAACTTCTTTTAAATTACAAAATTGCTATTGATTTCTTAAAACAAACCCAACCCAAAATTTCATAAAAAATCTCAAAACACTCAATAGGGTATCAAAGTAATTTAATAATTAAAATTAAATTTAATAGTACCATTTGTCATTTTTTGAGTTTTTTTTGGGTATGTTTATAAAAATGAAATGATGTAGGGTTTATTTATAGTTTTAGTGCTAAGAATGGGTATATTACTAAATATCTCTTTAACATTCTTCTGCAAAACAGAGCTGGTGACTGGATGGAGAAAAACTTGTATACCACAGGAATAACACTATTTTGCTATCCCCAACCAATCACATTCTATCATGCGTTATAAGGATTCCATATGACGGAACATAATTGTATGGGGACAGCAAAACAGTGCTGTCCCTGTTTCAGCTGCTGCACAACACTCATATCCTTTACATATCGCAATAGCTCCTTTTGTCTACTACTTCTAAATTGCATTAAAAAAAAATTCTAGAAAAATTTCCCAAGAGTCTTGGAAGTATCAAGAATTCAATAACTCAGAGTTACAACTTGCATAAATTCTTGATGGTTTTGAGTTCTGAGACCTAATGTTGTCGTAGCCTCACAGTTTACAATTTGGTTTGTTGGGCAGCTAAGAGATTTTGTTTTTTCGTCTTTATTCACAGCAACCAAACAAGGATAATTTTGATAAAAGACCAGTGTTATTGTGCGGTGATGGTGGTGATCATTGACCTTTTCCATAGATTCTCCTTTTCTTAAAGAAAATACAATTGTAAGAGAAAAATAACAAATAAGTAACCCACGTTTGTGTCAATGTATTAGGAGCAAGACAGATGGACAGCAAAGCAGATCAAGATTGACCACTAAAGGCTTCAAAGAATCAAATCTTTCTAATCTATAAATATTACTTTTAATACGGATTTGTTAAACTAAACGAGAGTTTACATGATTACCTTTATTTAATTAAGCTCTGCTAGCACGGATGCCAACTAAGGATTGATAGGATGGTAGGCATGAAATTCTCTTCACAGAATAATACCAACAAGAACAACCAAAACAAGCTACTTGAGTCATTGCAAGGTTTCACAAAATAAAAACTGCAGGATGTAGATTTCTCTTGATCAAAATCCTAATCCCAAATAAAAACTCACGATCGATTGCGCAGTTTCAGTCACATTCAATCCCTTTCTTTTTTCTTTTAGTCTGAAACAACCCAAGACATGAATGTGATATAGTGAGGAAGCAATGAAGTGCACATCACAAGCTAGCACCAGATAGAAAACTCATTTTCATAAATAACAAGGTTATTTGAGCCTAAATAAAGTTCATTAAGAAGTGCACCAGATGGAAGAACTCCTTTTCATAAAGTTCATACAAGCACAAATTCATTAGTTAAGAGAATTTTCAATCAATTAAGAGAGGTTGTTATACAATACTAGTGAAGAGATTCTCTACAACCACCCCAACTTTCTTGTTTTCTTTTCACAATGGAAGCCTTAAAAACTTAATTCCAGAATTGGAATTGACCCACCAGCTGCCACAATTTGTTGCTCCATCTGCAATCAACAATATAATTTTGAAATAAATAAACAGAGAAATTTTTAGTTCGACGCAAATCAGCAACAGCAAGCGTCTATACGATTCTACTCACCGCAAAGAGAGTTTCAAGCTTGCTCTTCACAAGGTAGTACTCTTGCTTTACTTGTTGAACACATCTAACGCACCTGCTAACAAGAGTCTCAGATTTCATGGATCATGACCTCTCTCTCAGCTTTCGAAAGCTGATTAAGGCAAAAATTACACTGTCTATGAATGTTTAGAGTAAAGTAACTCACCCATCAGTGTTCTGTTCCTCGCAGAAGTTGCGGAAAGCTATGCAGGCATTTTTAACTCTTTGTGCACCAATACTGTGTCAACCACAAAAACTGTCATCAAACAACATTGAGCTAAGCATGAACAAAAATCAGCACCTATCCCCTGGATCTGAACTAAATTAAGTTTCTTGTAAATTTTAATCTATCTAAGGGCGTTGAAATTGGATTCAGCTCAGGCTGAAGAAAAAATGCAAAGATTGTCCCACTAACTGTAAAGCCAGGATGTATAAATGGATCAGAGATGAAAATCAGGATTAGTTAGCTCACTTTTCAAGGCTGAAATATTGATCTTCCTACACAAGACAAACTAAGAAAAGGAATCAACTTTTTCTACTTCATTCCATGTTTTTCTCAGTGTAGGGAAAAAAAAACATAAAACAAAATTTATGTTTGTACCTGGAGCTACTACCCTTGAACTGGTGAACATGAGCATCAACCCTTTTGAAGTCTACACTTGGCTGTTCTCTGTACAAAGAAAAAAAAAGTGGGAACTTCAAGAACACAGAACAAACTTTCATGCACCCCTCAAAGTATCCAAAAGCAAAACATGAGCACCACACAATCCAAGAGAGAAAAAGACGGGTGAAAAGGAAAGAAGGAAACGAAGAAAAGGAAAGATCTTGGATCCTCACAGAGCTCTGGTGAGATCATTGAGAAGCTTCTCAGAATCTTCAAAGAATAGAGACACCACTTCAACAACAAAATCTGGGTTGCTCTCATCTTGCAGCTGCTGAAGCTGCAAAAACTGACCATCCAGAAACCCCTTCTCACACCCAAAGCAACAACCAGAAAACAAAATCAGGAACAAAACAAACAGAAAAAAAAAGCAAAACCAGCCCAGCAGTAGATGAAGATTAGAGACACCAAAAACAAAACAAACCCATCAGTGATTCCACCATTTTCTTGTTCCTTACCTCCAGAAACAAGGACTTTGTGTAGTCAACCCACTGTCTCTGCATCTGCCCCACTTCCATGTTTTTGCTTTTGTTCCTCTCTACACACAGACAGAGTAAGAGTCACCGTGTTTAAGGAGGAGCTGTGAGCCAGCAAATAAAAGAAAAGCAGGTGCCTTGAATTGCAGATCTTGAGGAATTATTGCACAATCAAATATTATAGTATAAATGCTTGGGAAACCTAGAAAAGGGTTTGATGAATTCAATGTGTAAAACAAAATCCAAAAGCTTCTTGCTTTTAGGTATGTCTACTGTCTAGTACAAGTATACTCTGACCCCCCTTTCTATCTCTCTCTGGATATGTGCTCTGGTTTTAGTATTTTCTCACAGAATCACAACCCCACCAGTTGAGTGCCCTTCCTCTACATCATATATTATGAGCATTTAACCTCTCTCTCTCTCTCTCTGCCTTTGTTTTTCTTTGTAATTTTTTATTGCCTTTTCAAGTATTTGGCTTTCTCTTATCTTTTTCTCCCTTCAATTTTTCACTTTTATCACTGAGCTGAAAACTACTGGTTCAGATTGAAAGTTGTACATGGGTTTGACGTAGGACTGACTTCACCTGTTTCTTCTTTATGGAAATTTGGAGAATGTGCAATTCTGCATGTTGGTTTTTTTCTCCTCATAAATCGGAATTATAAAATGTTACTGCTACTAAAAATGTTTACTCAAGTCATTCACAACAATCCGTGCATATTTTAAATTGTGGGTATGATTTCACTTAACCAAGGCTCATGATTATTTTTCTTTATATTTTCCAGAACCCAAAACAGAAGGAATATGTTATAGTTATCTTTTATACATACAAGTATTTTATGTTTCTAAATTTTTAAGGCAAGGCCGGATATTATAGGGAACATCACCTGTCATTACAAGCTGTTAGTGCTTGTTTGGATTGGCACTAAACTAAAGCCAAGTTGTTTAGAGATTTTTCCTCGTTTGCTTCCCCAACTAGATTGAAAATCATTAGAACTAGACTAATCCAGGCCAACCCATGTGGCACAAATTATGGTAATTTGTTCATGCTCTGCCATGTCAATGTATATTATGTACCATCCTATCCAATCTCCATTCATTCATGTACCATTTGAATTTTCTTATTTTATTTTTGGTTTTGATATAAGCAATATTGAAGGAGAGAAAAATTAAATTTAAGATCTCGAGTGTAAGAGTATAAACTCTTAATTGCTTGAGATACAGACCCTTTTAATACTAGTTAATTTGATCAATCAATTGTCAATGTTTGTTTTTTTATGTTTGTAAATTCCTCTTATTACTAAAACATAGACGGAATCTTGATATGTCACACCGAAATCTTACAGCTGTTTGGATTGTCAGTTGTGTTTTGTCAACCAAGAACAACAATGGGCCAGTTGTGTTGGGGGCAAGAAAACTAATAAGCTCTCTCCTTAAACTTAAAATATTTTTTCAATTTTGGAATAATTCTCTCTGGGCTTTGGCAGTTTTGGAAATGTTAAGTGTTGAGAGAGAGAGAGAGCCCTCGTCTATTATTTTATTTTGTTTGTTTTATGAAGATGACAAAATGAGGTGTCTGGTTACAGTCTTATTCCTAGTTTATTTTATTTCGTATATAATTGGTAATGATAATGAAAATTGTACTGTTTCGGTGGAAATATATTCTTATATTCCTATAGATAAAAGGAATATATTCTATTAGTTGTATAATGTTTCAAGATGGAGCTATTTGTGCTCCATCCATGTATTTTCACACTCCATTCATAAGCACGGACTGCATTTACCCTGCTACGAGTGAATCAATCATGTCAGTTGCCCCACGTAGATAAGCAATTTCGGACCTTTGTACATGCATCTCACTAAGAGTAAGAAATCTCTCATGCACGCGTAGGCGACTCACCCTAGCAAAATTAAAAGGCCATCTAAACGGTAAGAAGCAATTAAGCACCTTCTTTTTATAAATCTTATTTAACTGGCGGCTAGAATGTGTTTCATGCTAATTTCTAGAATATTTGACCACTGGGGAGGGAGACTGGGATCTTGAAAACAACATTAAGCTGTGCCTTTCATGCCTTTATATATGAATTACCAAACATGAGGATTTTGAGGATTGAGGATTGGGGATTGAGAAAAAGAAGAGCCCCAATGCGTAGCATGCAGATGTTGCCAAAGTTCTAGTAGGATATAATGCTTAAGGAGTACCGACCACCACCACCACCCCCACTTGGGGGGCCTCCCTTATTTCTTCAGATACTGATGGGAATCTCAGCGTGGTTATCCTAATTTGCGCAAGTCATGCCAAAGAAGACTATTTCACACCAAATCAAACAGAAGAATACAAAGTCCGTACGTGAATATTTGTGGCTAACAAAAATCAACCAACAAAGCCATAAATGACAGATATCCAGTGCTCACAGCACTAAAACCAGGGCCGGTCGGTCCACGTGCTGAAAACTGAATGCAAAAAAATTTGGGACCCTATAAGGTAGGGTAACCTTTAGCAATGAGACCTAAGGATGAAAATATCGGCCATACAAATCTTATTTAACTTTTAATTTACATATATTTTGGGAGATATATCGATGTCGCTTTAGGTATTAGAGAAAATTGACAAAAAAGATAGATATTGGCTTCAAAACATGGATTTTTGAAGTGAAACTTTCATAGATATTAAGCATATTATCAATGAGTGTATTGAACAAATAAAATTCAAAATGTACTAAGTATAAGATATGCATATGATGAAATGTACGTGTATATAATGCGCGATGAAAATCCTAAAAATAAATACAATAACTTAGCACAACAAAGACAACATTATTCAAACATAACCCAACCCAACATTATATTACAAGAGCGAGACTTAATAATAAAGGAAACGAGAGATGGAAGATTAGGTGAAAAATAAAATCAAACACACAAGAAACGGAGTAACTAGAGAGAGGAGAAGAAGAGCCAAAGATAGCTAAACTGATTGAGAAGAGAAGAAAGGAGAAACTACTAAGTATTAGAGCTTGATTTTTGACATTGATTCAGTGGATGAGATTTATGATTACTTTCAAAATTGAAGACAAATTTTTGAGTTATTTGTCTGGTATCGGAAAATATTGGTATACATTGAGGATATCGAGGATATATCGCTAATAAGGTGGAAGAAATAGGCGTACCCCCTATATCGCTTTGACACCTAAAAATAGGGATATGTCGGGATTTCAGCCCATATTTTCTTCCTTGATGGCACCCACTTGCACTTGCTAAATAAAGATCGACCTTCACTAAAATGGAATGGATGCATATCTATCTAGCCCCTTTCCCCTCTTCCTTCCCCCTAAAAATCTAATCTATATGCACTATGGGTGAGAAAGCTACCATTCTTTCATCTCACCATAAAACATGACATAATTGTGAACTTCCTTTTATCTCCTGACACATGCAAGAACGCGCATAAGTGACCGTGCGCACGTGCAACACCTTTCTACTCTCATAGTTCATGGATGTAGAGAGTGACATTGATGATATTTCAACCTCCCTTCTTTCTTACTGGGGAAGTGAAAGGTCGAACAGTGTAAAATCATAAGCATAATAAATCGTAATGCTGGGCGGAGCCAGGAAATTGTTCAAATAATAAAATTATCGCAAAACAAGATAAATTTATCTAATAATACAAAGTCTTTAGTAATAACTCATATATGTCATTCCAATACATTCACAATCTTTTATCTCTTGAAATATTTTCATAATCACTTCATTATTAATAATATCAAATTTCATAATTCAGATAATAAATAAATCATATAAACATCATTGTTCTTAATTTGAGATAATAAAGAAATCATATAAAATAAAATAAAAGTGGTTTTGGGTTAGTAATTCTTAATTTATTAAAAGAAGTAAAGAGAAAAAAATAAAAAGAGGAGTTATAACAACTTGGGGAACTTCAGTCAGAAGGGTCAGATTTTAAGAATAAATTATAAACAAAGGGTAAATATAAAAAAATACAGGGTTATTTAAGGAACTTCAGAAGGGTCAGCTGACCCTTGTGGGCCTCCGCCAGATCAGTCCATCTATGTGCTAAAAGAATGGTCTTCAAGTCATTATTTTGGGTCTCAAGTATATACATCGACACAACACATTTCTTTTGGTGGGTTTCTATTGCCGCATTTCTCTTCGAAAAGCATGGGTACAGTTTTACAAAAAAGTACAATTAGAGCAAAGACTTACAACCCAAAATGCCAAAGTTCTATTCAGCTATTACGTCTGTAAAGTGCTTGTAATGAAAAATAGGATTACAATCCACCAAAAAATTAATGAATAACCACTACAGAACAGGAAGCCTCCAACGCATGGCCCAAGTGGAACTCAGGAAGTGAATTCTAACATACCTTACAACTCCTCCTACAGTAGCCAGGGAGATCAGGAGATCCAACCATATACTCTGAGTTCTTGGTGCATTCTCCAAGGGCAGCCCATCTCTCACAACTTTCATTCAGATCTGCACAGTTCCCGCCGGCATCCAAGTTCTTGTCAAATGAATCGACATGAATCCACTTTGTTGCTGACCATTTCTCTCCTTCAATCACTGGGCACCCAGCATGGAGACTTTTTTGGTCTGGAACAGCGTGTGGGGTGAGACTGAAGAAAAGAAGGGCATCTCCTCTTCGCGGTTTCACTATGTAATTCCGAGGAAGATAGAAAACAACAGAATGCATCAACTTTGCTACAACAATTTATATATATATATATATATATCAATGAATACCGTAAATAGTTATCTAGAACTGACCTGCAATTCCTTTCTTTGCACACTCAGAGAGACTGTGGTCTACTTCTGAAGCCTTACGGCGTGAAGGTACCTGCAGCCAGATTCGTTTACAGAAATAATTATAACAAGATTAAATAAAGCAGATTACCAAGCTGGTAAAAGTTTTTTTATACTCTACTAACCAACACCCTCCAACCGGTTAATACAACCAGTCATTTCTTTATCTTCTTCTTCCTTTTTCCTTTTTTTTTCTGTGGATTGGAGTCCTAGCTTTTCCGTGATTTCTATTTCAGATGATTGTTGAAATAACTAAATGCAATAACAAGGTTTATGCTAACCCAAATGTGATCTAGTCTCAAGAGCTAATCAATGCCATATTAACGAGCATGTCAGCCATGCTAATTTACCAATCCAACTGCGGGCAGGGGGAGTCTAAGATAAAAATCTTACAGAACAGTATATTGCATTCTTTTCTGTGTGTGAACTAAGACTGGATTCTAAGACAGACTTAATAAAATGCAAGAGGTGAATACTTTAACTAACCTCTGCTTCAGGGAACACTGTTTCACCACCTTTGGTCACATCAGTAAGATACATCAGTACAGTTGCTACGCGATGTCCACCCCTGGCAATATTGACTTTGTCGGCAAAGTAATCATAGTGTGGTTCATATTTCTGCCCAGGCTCATATCTCAATACTTGTATGTCTTCTCCATTTTCTGAAAATCAAGAAACACATAACACCTGTAAGCTTATTCCAGCAAAATGAAGAAATCATTTGTAACTTTTATCATATCATTCTTTGTCAATCCAATATTGCCGATGCTCAGTTCATGTCAGAATAGACAACCAACATGGCTCCCAAGCGTTCAAGTTAGCATATGTTTGTCCCATGTTTCACTTCATTAGGCAGTAATAGCCATGTTGCCATCTATATCAAAAGTCCTACTCATGGTTTCCCAACTATCTTCACTGTTTATATTCAATTTTGATTTCAATCTCATTCAAGAGAACATATGTAAAGAAGGAAGAGAAACACATCTTACTCTAGAATCTAGATATATTTCCCAACGTATATTAGGCGCTGACACGGAAAAAGCAGTATATGAGTGTGAAGCAATTGTGAGTTGGACACTTCAACCATTCAGTCATGGATGCCTAGTTGGAGAGACTCATACAAGGTGAATAACAGAATTCCAATTGAAACTAAAACTTTAGGATAAATCAAAGCAAGGCATGAGGAACTAAATAAAAAGACATAACAGAGAAATCATGGATTTTTCAATTGAGAGAGATATGAAAATGGATGACAGTGAGATTAACTGAATTGTTCAAGGTGATAAAAAAGGATAACTCAAATAGTATTCTTCTCTAAAGGGTTTACCTTTTGGAAGAAATGTCCATGTTGCAATCTTGTCCTCAATACCAGCAACAATAGGATCCTACAAAAACAATTTAATTTGTAAAACGCATTACATATATTCATACATATGTGTGCGTGTCACCTTAACCCTGTTAATTGCGGTGACTTGCAATCGGATTCATGATCCGTGATGATCCACGAACAATTGAACATCCACATGTGTATGCATTTAATGTATTTTTGGGCTAAAACAGAAAATTGAATGCAAAGCCTAACTAAAACTAGTATCTAGTTAAAAGAAGAACACATATAATGGCGAATAAAACTGGTGACAAAATGGAAAAGGGAAGAGCAAAGAAGCAAACCTTGGCCTTGGGGATGAACATGCCGGAGCTGGTCCGCACCTCGCTGAGCTTGCTCTGACCGGACAAGTTATCGGCCACGGCCGATCTCTTCAGCTCCGATTTCGCCTAATCGCACAACAACAACACGACGACAAAACGTCAAGAAAGCACAATTGACGAATTCAACAGATTGAAAATTTGAAAAGTGTAAATGCAAACTCACGATGGAGATCAAGTGATCGCACTCTGCGTCCGTGAGCAAACCTTCGTACACGAAAGCTCTGCAATTCATCATTCAATCGCATCAACGCAATCACAAAAAAGAAAAAAAGAAGTCAACTTTAATTTTTTCCAGAGAGAGAAAGAGAACCTAGGGTTCCATGAGATCTGTCTGACTTTAGAAGGATTGACTGTGAAGGTGTGTGGTGAAGCAGCGTAGGAGCTGGAGGAGATTGAGAGCAGGAAGAAGAAGGAGAAGAACAGCTGAAGCCAAACCCTAGTCATCAGTACTCAGTCAGATTCCCAATCTCTCGGAGAGAGAGAAAGAGTCAGTCAATTGAATTTTGTTGGTAATGGAACGATCCTCCTAATCCTAATCTCACTGCTGCATATAACTGCGTGTGGCGCCATGTGAATTTATACTGTTTTTTGCCTTAACTTCACTGTTAATATAACATACGTCTTGTACTTTTTTGTTTTTTAAGACAGTAATTAGAAGGTTTTATTTTTTTATTATTTTTATTTTTCTGGTCATGGTAGTTGAAGTTAGTTATACAACCGCTATATAAGTGTAGAGCACTTTCGGGCAAATAAAAACGTTTATGATAGCATTTACTAGAGAAATTTTGATAAAAGTGCTTTCCGAAAAATCAGTTTGAAGTGCTTCATGAAATAGAAGTTGGATTTTTAATGGAACTTTGGGCATTCTTGTGATAAAAAATGCTAAGTCCCTATGAGCAGAAACACTTTTTAAATAAGCAATCTCAAACGAACTTTAAGAGTATTGTTGACAATTAATTAATGTGAGACCTTATATAACGATCAAATCCATAAGAAATTGTAGCCAAGTAGTAGGAGTGTAGATTATTTGCTTTTGTGAGTATGTTAGTTTCTAATCTCATGTTCTGATAGGTTAGAAGTCTATTAATAGCTAAAGTAACAAGTAAACATTACCTGCCATATAACATGGTTTGCTAATAAGGTAATAGCAATAATTACTCTATTTTTGTTAAGTAGAGTAGCCAACTCATGCTTTATGAATTGTTTCCCAAACTTGGCACCACAAAGAAGAAAGCAAATTTTTAATCATTTTCCAACTAATTGTCACATCAAAGCCAAAGAAGTTCACCCTTCATGAGAAAAATAACCTACTTGACTTCTGGTAAATGAAAAGGAGAAATTGCAGCAGAAAGCATATTCATCTTCAACCTCAAGCTTCCAGCAGCTGTACATGGCTCACTCTCTAAACGCATACTCTAAGCTTGACAGCATATGTCACATTCATGGTACAAATTCTAAGTAATTAACAAAGCATATACAACATCTCTCAACAATGTTCTCCCTCCCTCTTCTCTACCTTCTCTTGCACATGCTGATCTTTTTCCTGCTTCCGAAAACCGTCTGGTTTCTGCATTTTGTGTCCGTGGCTGGATTTCAACTCAATGTGAATCCACCCGTAAGAAACAGTATCAACTACCCTTCACCGAAAATTTAGAACTCATTAGAGGGGCCCAAGACAAACTCCAGTTGTTTATCCCTATCACTTAAATACTTGGTTGAGTTGTACTCATCTGCATCGAAGAGCTCCACCGAGTATGTCCTTTGAAGCTTAGACTTTTGACGTTTTGTAACATACTCCAAGATGCTTTCATCACCTTCTAAAATCTGGACAATCTGCGGTAGATTTAAAGCCATATCAGAAGATGCATACTGCTGTCTGTCTGACGGTTAAGTCATCACTTAAACACTGTAAAATCATAAACTAGTTAGGAAAAATACATGCCTGGTTCATTTGTGGTCGATTCATTGAAGACTGATGTACGCATATCGAAGCAGTCAAGGCGATACTCTTCATCTGTTGCAAATCATAGGCATCACCAAGGCATGGATCAGCTAGCTCTTTGATATTATTCGTAGAGAGTAAAGGTTTGGCCTGAAAAGTATTTTTTCAGACAGATTGAAATTAAACTGTCAACAATATTTCAATATGCTACTTGCTACCTTCAAATGAAACAAGAAAGCTGGGGGCACAGAAGTAAACATACCCACATAACAAGGCTTTTATGTGAGCTATCCAAAGCTTGCCTGCCGGTGATGAGCTCTAATAGTAGCACCCCATAAGCATAGACATCAGTTTTTTCATCTACTATGCCATGCATGAAAAACTCAGGAGGAAGGTAGCTGCCATGATTGGGGAATGAAATGATGTCAAAAAAGAGCTAACAAAAAGAAAATTACTTTGGTGAAACAGAATAAAAAAATCTAAATTATTTCTGGATTTACAGACCCAAATGTGCCTTCAAATTTCGATACGATATGGTGAGTCCAGTGATCTGGTAGCCACTTTGCAAGCCCAAAATCTGATATCTGGATTCAATTGGAGTGACCAGAGTTATTGAAAGTTAATAAAGTAATTATATAAATTTTGCTCTGGTGTTTTACCCATTCACAATGCAGCTTTTTTCACTAATCTGTAAACTGATGAAAAAGGGTACCTGAGGCTCAAAATCCTCTGCCAGCAATATATTGGAAGCCTTAATATCTTTGTGGATAATTCTCCTCTGGCACCCCTCATGAAGATACAGAAGGCCCTTAGCAGTCCCTAAAGCAACTTTATATCTGATGCCCCAATCCAGATTCTCTCTAGGTCCTAGAAATATGGGACAAAGAAGCAAAAGCAATAAATTAATTGTAATTGTGAAATGGAGAGAAGTTTGGAATTCAAAAGATTCACAGAAGATTCCCAGATTGATATACAAACCATAAAGTATGGATGCTAGGCTCCCATGGGGAGACAAATGAAGAACAAGATGCATCCCTCCTTCAACCCCATAACCAATCAATTTTGCGATATTGGGATGGTCAACATGAACTATAACCCCAAGCTCAGATAAGAAGTCTGCAGTCATTTCTTCTTGACTACCCCTCGTCAGGCGTTTAATCGCAACAATCTGCCCATCTTCCAATGTCCCCTTGTAAACTTCAGCATAACCTCCTTCCCCAATCAAATTCTCTTCAAAAAGGACAAACAGAAAATGTTATCAGCCTCACATGACAATGACAACCTTACAAAAGAGAATATGATTCTATTGCGTTACCATCAAATCAGCTAAGAAAAAAATGAATTTACTGAATCTCTACACTCCAATGTAATGTAAGTTCTCTGAAGAAATGAGAGTACAGACCCTGGCTGAAGTTGTTGGTTGCGACTTGGAGGTCTAATAGTGAGTAATTCTTCCAGGAAGATTTGAAGCGGCAAAAGTCAGCATCGAAAGACATCAGGGCAGGAGAGTTGAGCTGTGGAATGAAGTCCTCTCTTATTCTCTTGCTTTTCCTTCTGGTGAGTTTTGGTTTTGGGGCACTTTTAGGAGGGAAGGTTGGGAAGGGATGTTGTGGTCCTTTTTTCAATATACGGAAGAAACCACGCCAGTTTTGGTTTAGTCTTGGATCTGAGTCTGTAGTAGTGCTGCTTCTTGCATCTGAGTCTGAAGTGCTGGCCTTAGGAGAAGACGTTTCGGATTCTAAGCTTCTCGGGCAGTCATCCTCAAGAACTCCTCTCGGAGAGGGCTCATGTATTCTGATATCCTCATCCAATTGTAATGACCTCAAGTCTATTATGACAAAAATCCCAACATAATTAGTACCACACCAACCTCTATATTCATGCATACTGGCATTGCCTGCTGCCTAGAGAAGAAAAAGAGCATAAAGTTGTTACCTTGACTTGAAAAAGAGTCAGAGAATCCAGCTCTTGATCTTCTTGATCCAAAAGGAGAAGGCGTTGTAGCCGTAGCCTCCGCTTCTTCATTTTCTTTGGCAGTGTCGCGGGAACCATTGCTGCCCATACAAGCTTTGTGTCAGCAAACAACAGAAAATATGACAAAACCCAACAGATTTAAGAGCCTCCTAAGAGCAAATTCAGACAAAACCGGGATAGTGAGCAGTACCACTACCGACCATCCAAGTGGGGAAATAGGAAGAAAGGGCCAAATTGTATGGCACGTGCACAAACATCACAAGATATAGAGAATCAAACAAATGATTTGTGAACAGATTGCAGAAGAACCATTGAAACATCATCTCATGAGAAACAAAACCAAAACCCGAAAACAAAAAATCGAAAGCGACATTGTAAAACAACAAAACAATAGTGGCAGATAAAAATTTAATAATCTTGTACAGGACCTCCTTAGAATGCAATGTAACAAGAAGTAAAATGCAGCCTAGCACACACAGGCATTGTTAAAAATTAATTTAGTCCTCTAGCTGGCTGCAGGCTTTATGCATGAATTATTATATATTTCATAGGCAATGTAAATTTAACATGACGTTGAGAATTTGAAAGATTACTGCTTACTGCTTAGAGATGAAAGCCGCGAAACCAGAAGCGATGAGCTGAAAAGCGGGCACCGAGGTGATTACCATGAAGAAGTTTCAGGTTCAGATTCTGGGGCATCTTCCATGAACTCTCAAAGGGTGCCAAACCAACCAAAGAGAGGCTTCAGAAGCCAAGAGAGAGAGAGAGAGAGAGAGGCACATGAAAATAGTGGCTCCCATGATTTTCCTGTATTGCGCCTTAAATATTCCCGCATTTTTGGACAATTCAACGAATATTCATGCTAAAAAATCGGCTTTCTTTGTTATGGACACATCATTTCCTTCTTAACCCAGTCTATTCTCTCTCTAAAACAAACAAATAACAGCGTGTAAATTTAGCAATTTTAGCATGTTTATGAGATGTTGAAAGGCTTGCAAAGCAAAGCACGTATGGCTATGGAGATTCCCTCAACTCCCACAGTTCAAACGTCTTCTGGGTCTTTGACACGTGGAATTAATTAATTAGGTTAATTATGGATTAGGGCACCATAAAAATAAAACAAAATACTACTACTTAGGTACAATCTTGTTTGACTGTCCATGATAATAAAACTTTGTGATAAATAAAAATAAAATAAAATAGAAACTAGAATCTTTATATTTATATGAATTCATCACGTATGTTAATTGTATATTAATAAACGATTGTAGACTGGACTCCAACAGATACACTACGTTAATTAGCTAAAGTAGAATGCCAAAAGCCTTCCTTGACGTTGTGACTCGTGAGCTTGTGAAAAGCCAATCTTCAGGGAAACTTGTATCCTATATGCGGACCAAAGCACTAATTATGCAAATTTGTTACAGAATCAATTACGTTCCTTGTACCACCTAATTTGTAGGTAACGATGGTTTGCATAATATTTCATGCCAAGATACGAACACATGCTTGTAAATTATAGTCTTTAGACACCCAAAGGAAATATGTTCCCAAGTTACATAGCAGCCCATAAATACAAGTCCTTATAGGAAGGCAGTTATTATTGGAAGTCATATTTCAGTTTCCAGTATATGCTTCTTAGCATCAACTACAAAAAATTGATCACACTCGACAGAATCATTTGGAATGGAAAGTGGTAACTAAAGCTGAAATTTCATGCCAACATCGACATACATATTCAAAATTTATGAGGCAAACAATCCAGAATTCAACAAAAAAAATCAAAATTCAGAATGAAAAATGACCAATGGGTTTGGTGTTGTGTGATAGTGTATTAAGGTGTACCAGTGTATTTTTGGTGTATACTTAGTTAATTTTTCATTTTGATTTAAATATTAGAGTGTACTTAAATTATAAGGTGTACTCAATTAATTTTAGGGTTTGTTTAGCACCACTCAAAACTTGTGATGCACCATTCAAAACTTATGATGCACCAACTTCATCATTGCATTTAAATGATCATCATTGCATTTAAATGACCAATGACCATCATTGCATTTAAATGATCTATATGTATAAAAATCAATCGATGGTATGATTAGGAAACAAACAAAAATCTCTTCATTTGATTTGTGTTGTAGTTTCTTCTGTCTTAAATTGAAATGGCTTTCATTACCAATGCTTTGTATAAGATCGTTTCAAAATCTTCATCTGCCAACAAAGCTACCCTTGAAAACTTGAACAAGTTGCCCAACTTTTATGTTTATGTTCCTTCGGGTCCAGGTCGCAGCCAAAACAAGTATTATGTGGATCGATAGCAACAAGGTTGCTATTGACTGCGACCTGGACCCGAAAGAACATAAACAAATAGTGGTCATAGCTGAACAAAATCAGCTACAAATAATTCTATTTTCACTGGACAAGGAATTGCACCTAAACGAGTGTGTGTTTTTACATTTTTTTTTAAAATTGCATTAAAAGAAATAAAAATAAATTTTGAATTATATATTTGTTGTTAATAGGAAAGGTAAATCCTGTTAACAACAAATATATAATTCAAATTTTATTTTTATTTCTTTTAATGCAATTTTAAAAAAAAATTTGTAAAAACACTCACTTGTTTAGGTGCAATTCCTTGTCCAGTGAAAATGGAATTATTTGTAGCTGATTTTGTTCAGCTATAACCACTATTTGTTTATGTTCTTTCGGGTCCAGGTCGCCGTTAATAGTAACCTTGTTGCTATCGATCCATACCTCTCTCTCACCGCCGAAGCTGGCTCCGGACAAGAACCCTTCACTCTCTGCCAAATTTGCCAATCCCATCCCACGTGCCCGACCACGTGTTGTCAAGAAAACTTGGAGTTTCATTTTGCAGCGCCATAAGCTTCTGTCCGTACGCTATGGCTCGCCCCAGGGTCCCACGAACTCGCATACCTCCGGTGAAGATGCAGACAGTACGGAACCTAACCCTAACCCTAGCCATAAGCTGAAGGCTCGAACTGGCGCCAAACAGTTGTCATCCATCGGAGTCGAAGCCACCACCTACACTCGCTTGCCTCCCAGAGAGGACTTCTCCCTCCCTTCTTTGGATTCGTCGTCGTTGGAGTTCTCATCCGAAGTGAAGCTCTCCGAATCAAATCGCGCTTAAAGTTGAGAAGGAGATTGATAATTTAAGCAGTGAAGAGGAGGAAGAAGAAGAAGAAGAAAAGGGCTTAGATGGTCATTTGGGGTTGAATTATGGTCAATTTGAGGTCTTTGAGGGAACTTATGATTCTGAACTGGACGAGGAAGATGATGATAGCGATATTGAGGTTAGTATCAAAACGACGACGGTGAATTGCTAGGCTTTAAGGAGGGCGAAGCTGTGAATTTATCAGATAATGAGGTCAATTGGAGGAAGGGGAAGTGAAGGAGAAGGGAGTACCAGCAGTAATGTGGCGTTTCGACCGCGCAAAAATCTTCGCGAAGGCAGGGGACGGAGGGAACAGCGTCGTCGCAATGCGGCGTGAAAAGTTTGTGCCTTTGGGCGGTCTGGCAGGCGGTGACGGTGGGCGAGGAGGTAATGTGTATATGGAAGTAGATGGTTCGATGAATTCACTTCTGCCATTTCAAAACAGCGTTCATTTTCGGGCAGGGAGAGGTGATCATGGAAGAGGGCAGTCCCAGAATGGGGCTAAGGGAGAGGACGTCGTGATTAAAGTAGCTCCTGGGACTGTTGTTCGAGAGGCTGGGAAGGAGGAGGTGCTTCTGGAGTTATTGCATCCCGGGCAGCGTGCATTGTTGTTGCCGGGAGGAAGAGGCGGGAGAGGGAACGCTTCGTTTAAGTCGGGGATGAATAAGGTGCCAAGGATTGCTGAGAATGGTGCAGAGGGTCCTGAAATGTGAGTTCAGCTCTTTCGGTTCTCTAATCAACCGAATTGCATTGTTTTAAGTTTATGCTTGTTGTTATCATTAATGTTGTTTGGCTCTTACATTGTGATTTTTGATAGTTGGAATTGTTCTGTTAGCATGTAGTCGTTCAAAAGTAGAACAATGATGAAACATTTGTGGATTATTTGAGACATTATTCTGGCAGTAAATGTTGATATGCACCAAGCATTTAAAAAAACTGATAGTGTGACCCAAATATTGGTGTAAGTAGAAGTTAGGTGCATTTCCAGGATATCTTTACTCATGTTAGTGTAAAGGAGGTTCTCTTGTAGACATGTAGTGTTTCTCTTTGTTCTACTTGCAGGTTTCGAGTTTGAAAAATAGGCAATCATTAGCTGGTATCAAACAGTTGGGGTTAGCTTAGTTAAATTAATTCTTAGAATTGGTAGAGGTTGTCTGATATCATACAATAATTGGCCTCTCCTTGCTCCCAGCCATGTCAAAATTAGAGATACTTGCTATCTTTGTGTTATCATTTTCACTACTTGAACAGTATGAATTAAATGATGGTATTATTGATCAGGTGGTTGGAGCTGGGGCTAAAGCCAGTTGCAGATATTGGAATAGTGGGCGCCCCAAATGCAGGGAAAAGCACACTTTTGAGTGTGATAAGTGCTGCTCAGCCAACAATAGCAAATTATCCCTTCACAACTTTACTTCCTAATCTGGGTATGGTTTATTTTGACTATGATTCTACAATGGTAGTAGCAGATCTGCCAGGTTTACTTGAAGGAGCACACCGGGGTTTTGGTTTGGGACATGAGTTTCTACGGCACACTGAGGAGTGTTCTGCCCTGGTATAAGCTGTGACCATCATCTCCCAAGTTATTGAAAACTTAGTTACAAATTCTTTTCATGCTCAGGGATGAAAACAAGTTGATTTTTTTTATAATCTTACTGTCTTTACCTTATCTTAATGTCTGAGCCCGTGGAAACACAATAAGTATTGTCTTTCAACTAACATATATGGTGTTTTTTCTTGTCATTTTTGTCAATTTCGTGTATTATATATTCTGTCCTTCCTTCCTATTTTACAATAGGTACAAAATTCGGAGGACTAAATTTTGGAATTTTAAGTCTGCTTCTCTCTCTGGCTAGGGAAAACAAAAGAACTCCATATTTATTCTCTAATTACTATTTTAAATTTTGTTATTTAATTTGATTTTGTTATTTAAGTTTTATTTAATTCTTTATCATCACCATCATTATTATATGCCTTGTAGTAACAATGTTGTATAATAATATGACCTTCATCTTTCTGGAAATCTCAGATACATGTTGTTGATTGCTCATCACAACAGCCAGAATTTGAGTTCGATGCAGTCCATTTGAGTTGGAACTGTTTAGTCCTGAAATTGCTGAAAAGCCTTATTTCGTTGCTTTCAATAAAATGGACCTTCCAGATGCATATGAAAACTGGCCATCATTCAAAGAAAATTTAGAAGCTCGTGGGATTGAAGTTTTTTGCATGAGTGCAGTGAAAAGAGAGGGAACTCATGAAGTGTCCTCCGCTGCTTACCAGCTTCTATGAGAAAATAAAGTGGCCGAGGACAAGTTAGCAGGTCAAAGTTTTTTAAAAAAAAAAATTCTTATTTAAAAAAAATTATATCTACATTCCCCTAAGAATTTCTGACAATTTTTACACATACATTTATTCTTTTTTGGGTTTTGTTTTATAGGATAGATAAGTTTTAACTCCATATGTTATTTTGTCACCATGTTGACAAGTCTCCTTTGAAGTACAGAAGATCCAGTCAATTTAAATCATGTAGCTGAGATGGTGCGGAAGCAGCAAACTGTGTCTATTAATGAGTTTGAGATCGCTCATGACAGCACTACCAATACTTGGCATGTTGTAGGATCTGGGTTGCAACGGTTTGTTCAGATGACAAATTGGCGGTAGGTTAACAATTCTTTATCGTCGCCTCCATGATTTTCCATCTTATGCTTTCTTGACTTCATAAGTCTGACCTGTTATTATATCATTTGTATCATTAAGAAAAGCTTTAGCTTCTAAATGCACATTGACGGTATGCGATGAAGATGCATTATTATGCATATAATTCTTTTGATTCTAGTTACTGATAAAAGTCTTTTCATTTTGTTGCCTCTCTCTTCGTGAAAGAATAGAGTAGGGTAAGGGGATTGATCAGTGGTGTGAGGCGGACAATCTCACTAGTAAATAGAGTGAAGCAATATTCACCTCTTCTTTTGATGTAGTTTGGTAGAAAATATCTAATGAATACGGATTGATGAATTGATGCAGATCAATTTAGCCATTCTATCACTGAGAGTTTTCTTCTTTTATTTTTTTTTCCTCTCAATTTTGGGGTTTACTTTTCTGGTTGGCACATTCCCTGTTTTTAGATGTTTTCTGTGCGTAATTCAATTCATGATGTTAAATTCTAGTCTCTTTAATTGGTCTCTTCAATTGCTTTGTGTTGATATAGTACTCCAATTAAAGGATTTTCCTGAACCTGAATAGCTTATTAATGGTTTCAATACATTTTTGTTTTTCATAATTTTTGTTTTAAAAAAACCTGCCTTTAACACGGCTCTGAATTGCACCCTTGTTTTATTTTTATCTCACCCACACATTTTGTATCATCAAATTACTGCTATAGTCTGCAGTCAGTCACATCTTACGTCATTAAATGTTCTCCAAATTGATTACAATGCCAATGCCTCATTGTATCTGTTTTGGAATAATTGACATCTTTCTTTCTCATGAAGAATTTATAATGAATGTGTTTGAACAGATATGTGGATTCTGGGAGAAGGTTCCAACATGTTCTGGAGGCTTGTGGTGTGAACTAGTCTCTTATAAAACTTGGTGTCAAGGAAGGTGACACAGTGATTGTTGGAGATGTATGTTTTTCTCTGTTATTACTTTCTTTGTGTTATATTTTGAATCCTAAACACATGAACTCACAGCATCTTTTCTTTCCTTTCCTTTTCTTCTAATATAATTAACGTCCAACTACTATTCTCGTTTGTTTCCTCCAGATGGAAATGATATGGCATGATGCTGCAGATACTTCTGGTTTTTCAAATTTTAGGAAAGGATCCACAGAAACAACCAAGTGGCCTCAGTGGAAGTGCCGACGGTTATGTGTTATTTAACTGCTAACATATCAAAGAGAAAGGTATTGTATTGATTAACGTTCAAAGTCTAGGCATTTTCATTCATATTAGCATAGCAGGGGAAGATTTATATACACGGACATATATTAGCATTCGAAGTCTCCTCCAGCCTTATTGTGTCAATGGCTTCTCATGCGATGAACAATTTGGTGGGAGGGATGGGAGCAGGATTGAACAAACTAATTTCAAATCAAAAGAATTATGAAAATAAATTAAGGGAAAAAAATCACCCATAAATTTGAAATTTAAACAATTAATGATCAAATAGTCAAATTTGCATAAAATTGTGTTCGTGTGTTGAATATATTGCTTAGTTATGATTTTGTGGTTCAACATGTTTCAGGGCAACCGTATGTGTGTTTCTTTTTTGGACAAACAATATTCAAAATTACACTAATTTACCTATATTTATATGTTGTAAATTAAGTTACCAAAATTTACAAGTTCAATAACGTGCCTAGAGGTAAAATTACACAGGTAAATTAGTTTCCAACGAAAACATATGAACCAAGAATTTGAGGGAGCAAGAACACGTCTTGCCTTTTGACAATGATATAAATGAAGGAAAAACACTGGCCTATCAAATTTGCAATAAATTCTACCAATAGCAACGAGCATATCCTAAAATGTATGTCATAAAAAATAAAATAAAAACTGGAAAAGGATACATAGTCGTCCGAGGTTTCACTCCAGCACCAACGCTTGACCTAGATCCCACCCCCCAACCTTGAACCTTGAACGCAGATCCATAATATAAACAACTGCCCACAACTTTTGAGCTGCTACTTTCAAGTTGTCTCATAACAAAGCAGACAAGGCCGCAACTTTTTACGGGCGTTTTTGGGTTTTTGACAACTTGTTTGTTCATACCTTGATCTCAAAACCTCTACCTTTGATCCATCAAACGCAAACCTCTTGGTTGTTACGATCTCATGATCTCAAAACCTCAACTTGATGCATTTCCATTCTCCTTTAGAGAGAGAGAGAGAGAGAGAGAGGGGTAAACTCTAACATAAAGCGAGCAAGGTTCCCTATTAATTAGTTCTCATATTTTGTTTACTCTTCCTCTTCCTCTAGGTTTCCTAGCTAGCTAGCAGCTATTCTCTTCCTTCCTCTTTGCTTTCCTTCATCTTCCTTCCTTGTCTACTTTGACTCCTCGCAATCTTGCTAGGTGGGTTTAGGCCATGTCTTTTTGCGCATTACGTACATTGAATGCTGTTGATTATGCATTTGACAACCTATTGCTCTATTCTTGTTGGGTAGGGATGTTGATGATATGGTGGAGGCTTCTAGTTATCACATATGAGCTTCCATTTCATTCCGTACGTCCTTCATCACTTCACTTGGGTAGGCCTATTAATCTTCTGGGCAACTTTATAATGAACCCAATAACTCGCTCAGCCTTTTAAACCCTTGGTGGTTGCCCCTCGTAACTACCCACAAGCTTTAACAATCCCTCTGTGTTTGAAGAAATAGGAAATCATGTTTTTGATGGCTGAGTAGCGGAATAGAACGGATATTACCAATCCAAATATCCGGATGGCCGAGTGTGAACTAGGTTATTACCTTCTTAAGATTATATTGTATCTGCTTTCCATTGACGTTTGGTGTTCAAATCAAACTGCAGCTTCTCAATTACTCAATTTTGGTTTGTCTTCTAATTCTTTGAGTATATGTCTTCTTCTTTTTTGGGACTTTTGTCATCTGCTTGTATCATTGTGCTTTCTTCACTTGTTTAGATCAAGTATTATGTTGACAAGTGTGAGATCTTTTCAATATGTTGAGAAATGTGAGATAAACTTTTTTATATTCCTGTTTGCTCAATGAGACGCACAGCTTGTGCAGCCACTGAATCATCTAAGCTTATGCAAGACGAGCACTGGGAAATACCATCTTATTCGAGGTAAGCAATCTGAATCCTAGTTGGAATGTCCTTGAAACAAGTTTTCCTTTTTTGCTTTTATTTCTAAATACTAAAGCTTTGTGATTTTACTTCTGTTTTTAATGTTTTGTCTCCAACCCCATTGAAAATAGGGTCTGCTTATAGATAAAGAATTTGGTTTGTCTCAAATTATGGAGAAGATATTTCTTCTGCCCGTTGGGATTGTATTGTTACAGCTTGTGGTTCATTGCTCTGGTACTGATTTGAAGGTAAAACATGACAAAACTTTGTCTAATTATAGTAAAATTTATTGTTTTGAAGATAATCAAATATAGAGAGAGAAAAGAGAGAGAGAATTTCCTCTGAATATTGCTTAAACGTTGGTACTGCTTTTGCATTGAGTTCCGTTGAGTTATTCCTAAATTGAATGGAATTATTTTATTGGTAGCCTTTTAGTTTTTTTTTTTTTTTTTTTTTTTTTTTTTTTTTTTTTTTTGTGTTATTTATTTTATGTGTGCAGGTTCTTGTTTAAAGCTTTGGCTGGCGTCACACTTCAAATACGAAGTGAAGAGTCGTTGCAAGGAACTTGTTTAAACCCATTGTATATTTTTATAGTTTAAAAAAATTATAAATTTTACAAAAATGCAATAAAATAATGGAGAATTGGCACAAGTCAGAATTGCAATGCTTTAGCATCACTTGTTTGCCAACAAAATATGTTTTGTACACGCTTCAAAAGGATTCACTGCAGCTTCAACATCGCTTCATTTGCTACAAATAGTAATAAGCATAAGATAATGACAATTGACATCACCTGAGTGGTGTGTCGTTAGTGCCACGCATCATTAGAGTTTCATTTTTTTGTGTTGACCCTAAAAATTCCAAAGAAATTCAAGAAAATACAAAAATACACTGAATATTTTTTTCCAAACTCCTTGCAACATTATCCTCGATTATGATGTATGAAAACACAATTTTGACCTTGGGAAATTTGAAGTAGTAATTGGAGGAAGAGTTGTAAGGGAGAGTAATGATGTTCAACATAGTATTATTGTTAGTATAGAAACAAACTTGACTTTGAGAAATTATTTGAATTTTTAATATTTCAAAATTATATTTTCAAGCCTATAATATGAAGGAAATATGACAAGCAGTTGGTGGTATTTTTTTGTGAAATTTTCGGTGCATTTTTCTGATTTTTTTTTAATTCATTTTTTTTATATTTTTACGTTTAAGATACAAAAATGAACTTCTGATGACATGCATTGCTACGTGGTATTGATACTTTTCGAAAACACTGATGAAAGGCCAATCTAGGGCTGCCATGTGTCATTCATTTCCATTTATTAGTATTTTCCAGTTCTTTAACTTCAAAAAATCATAATAAATTCATAGAAAATCTGAAAAATTCACCAAAACAATCCAACAAACTCCTTATCACATTTGCTTCCTCTTTTAAGCTTTAAAATATAATAGTTACATATACAAAACTTAAAAAGTTGTCAAAAATTGAAGTTTGTTTATATACTAACAATAATACTATGTTGAACATCATTACTCTCCCTTACAACAACTCTTGCTCCAATTATCACTTCAAATTTTCCAAAGTCAAAATTTTGTTTTAACACATTATAGTTGAAGATGAAGTCACAATGAGTTTTTAGAAATTTTCGGTGGATTTTTCTATTTTTTATTCATTTTTGTTGTTGAAATTTTTACGTTTAAGATAAGAAAATGAACCTCTGTTGACACTTGTCGCTATTCGCTATTGACACTTGTCGGAAACTTTAATGACACACCAATCTGGCGCTGCCATGTGTCATTCTCTTCAATGTATTAGTATTTTTCAATGCTTTCACTTCAAAAATTGTAATAATAAATTCATTCAAAATCTGAAAAATTCACCCAAAAAATCCCACAAACTTCTTATCACATTTCCTTCCTATTTTAAGCTTTAAAATATAATAGTTATATATACAAATTTAAAAAACATTTGTTGAACACCATTACTCTCCCTTACAACAACTCTTGCTCCAATTATCACTTCAAATTTTCCAAAGTCAAAATTTTGTTTTAACACATTATAGTCGAAGATGATGTGGGGCAATGAGTTTTTAGAAATTTTCGATGCATTTTTCTGGTCTTTATTCATTTTATGTGTTGAAATATTTAGGTTTAATATACGAAAATGAACCTCTGTTGACACTTGTCGTTATTCGCTACTGACACTTGTCAGAAACTCTAATGACACACCAATTTGGCACTGCAAGATGTCATTCTCTTCAATTTATTAGTATTTTTCAATGCTTTAACTTCAAAAATTCATAATAATAAATTCATACAAAATCTGAAAAATTCACCAAAAAAGTCCAACAAACTCCTAATCACATTACCTACGTATTTTAAGTCTTAAAATATAACAGTTACATATACAAAATTCAAAAACGTTTGTCAAAAATTGAAGTTTGTTTATATACTAACAATAATACTATGTTGAACATCATTACTCTCCCTTACAACAACTCTTACTCCAATTATCACTTCAAAATTTTGTTTTAACACATTGTAATATAAGATGATGTTGCAATGAGTTTTTAGAAATTTTTGGTGGATTTTTCTAATTTTTCATTCATTTTTGTTGTTGAAATTTTTACGTTTAAGTTACAAAAATGAACCTCTGTTCTGTTGACACTTGTCACTATTCGCTAATGACACTTTTGGAAACTCTAATGACACACCAATCTAACGCTACCATATGTCATTCTCTTCAATTTATTAATATTTTTTTAATGCTTTAACTTCAAAAAATCATAATAATAAATTCGTACAAAATTTGAAAAATTCAACAAAAAAGTCCCACAAACTCTTTATCCCATTTCCTTCCTATTTTAAGCTTTAAAATATAATAGTTACATACACAAAATTCAAAAGCATTTGTCAAAAATTGAAGTTTGTTTATATACAATAATACTATGTTGAACATATCATTACTCTCCCTTACAACAACTCTTGCTCCAATTATCATTTCAAATTTTCCAAAGTCAAAATTTTGTTTTAACACATTATTGTCGAAGATGATGTTGCAATGAGTTTTTAGAAATTTTAGGTGCATTTTTCTATTTTTTATTAATT